GATAACACTCTGGTAATGATGAACACTTAATATGACCCTTTAATTTATATTTACCATGTGCGATTTCTTCTAAAATGCCATCATCGCTTCGACTTAGAATTTCAAGAATTGCAATACTATCCTCTGCAGAAATATTCGCACTTGTTAGATCGGATAAAATAATCGAATTAAATTTATCAAAAATTTGCTCTTCTTTTATTTCATTTGGATTGATTTTAGCTCTTCTATTGGTTGACAATATACATCGATCTTCTACGTAAATTCTATCATATTTCTTCAAATTTTCATATAGCTCGTTTTTGCAAAATATATATTCTTCACATGCTCCAATTGGATATTGAATCAATACATTTTACTCATCTTGGAAAACGTTGGGATAGATGTGTATAGCCATAATTAAGTGTTGTTTCTATTTCCGCTTTTGCATTCAGGAATTTTCCATCTAGCTTCAATTGCGTAGTAACTACCATCAACCATTCAAAAAAATAATTACCTAGAGAATATTATTTGGTTCTATTTCTTAGTTCGATTGAATCGTTTCAAATTCATAATGTCAGAGCTTCGAATAAATATTCTGAATAATCTACAATTAGATAGACACAAGTTCTACACCAGCCATTCTAGTTAAAACTACTTCAGAATACCACAGACGACACGCCAATTTTTGTTTTGATTTCTACTAACACAATTCTGGACTTTTTTTATTCATTTTCTTAAAAATTGTTCGTGTCAATTAACAACAAACGGTTTTATTTTCATTTCTATTGATATAATTATAAGCTAGGTCTGCGTTACACATATAAGAGAAAGTTAAACTTGATTTCTTATGTTGACAACCCAAACAATTTGAAAAGAAATATTCGTTCCGGCATTATAAAACTAAATATATTTATAGGCTCCAATGCTATTTAGTTTTTGGCTTAATTTATTTTGCACAAACAACTACGTAGATAGAAGATACAGCACAAAGAAAATGCTCATTTCGGGCAAAAGTTCGGTACAGATAATATTGGTATCCATTTATTGTCAATTAATGGTGGTTTATTAACAGCATAATAATCAGGTCCTAGTTTTGTAAATGATCCGTTTTGTAGAGGTGCAGTTACCACAAGAAAGAACAGAGTAAGAAACCATGATACAGGCGCACGTAGCCGAAATGGTGTATGCGCTGCGATAGTACAAGCTAGACCATGCAAAAGGAAAAACGTCATGGTAGACATGGTATCGCGAAAATCACCAAACGTAATAAAAGCTAAATGAACATGAAGAAGGCCACTAACAAGAAATACAATTAATGCGGCAACACTCGGTGAAGATGAATGTTGAAGAGCTGGCTGAAAAACAGATTCTCGAAGAATAGTACCAATTAGTTGATTATATCGGCGGCCCCAGAATTCACGCAATGATCGTGATATTAATGGAACGTTAGTAATAGATTTAAGCATATATTTATCACGAGTAACAGTTCGAAGAATAGCACTTTGAAAATCCGATAGAAACGTGAATGCTAATGCGTAAATATAGAACATGATTAATCTAGCATAGCTATCACTTCCTGGACACGTGAGAAGCCAGCGATACATCCAATGGTTTACTAACAATTTAACAGCACCTGATATTAAATCATAAAAAATTGGCCACTGCTCTTTGTAATCAGGTGCGCAAGGCACAATAGGAAAAAACATCCATAAAAATTTGAAGATAAAAGAACGCAACGTTGAACATTGATTTGGTGAAAGTATAGTTAAGTGAATTAAACGAATAGATGCTAACCAACAATACGTCACAGCTAACATAGAAGTCATTAGAAGTGGAGGAACTTCGCAAGTAACCATATATGTGAGTAATAGACACGGCAAACATGTTAAAATACACCGAGTAATCGTATTAGAAATAAAACGAATGGCATAAAAGCATAGAAACAATTGTACAACCCAACCCACAAAAATCAATATTCCACTTGGCATTTCGATATTAAGATTGTCTGTTAGTTACTAGAACTTCTTCTCACAATTATAATCTCGATTGGCACAACACGACTAAGAGGGACATTTTCTAGAATGTCAATCGATGATATTGTTTTACTTGCATAACTTACTGGATAAAAAGCATGTTGATGTGTGTGATAAGAAGAAGAGTGAAGTATTTTTGCCATATATAGACGTCAACATCCGACGAGAGAAAGTAAAAAAACAGAAGAACAGAAAAAAAAAACTCAATGACATTTCTTTATGTAGAACACAAAATAGACATACTTTTTTATCGTTTTTTTTTTATAGAAGTAGTCAGTACTTCTTGAGGTGGAACTATTTGCTTTATACAGATGCTAGTGTGAAACAAATTGAATAGAAATATTGGATGCTGTTAGATTATTCCTACAGAGATAAAACAGTAGTACTATATTTTCATCGACTATGACATAATTTACTCAGAAAGATTAAAGAAACACAATTCTGAATTGAATATCTGCACAGGTAAATATTGATGACATATACTAAAGCTTAGTGTTTTCTTTTTGCAACAGATTCATCAGTCGATTTTGATATTCATAACTGATGATAGTAAATACGATGTATACAGTCATTTCCCTTGAGAGATTGGCCTGCTTAAGTAATTAGAAATAATTCATTTTTGATTTCGAATCTGAACAACACAACTTCTATGAATATTATATAGAATATTTCTAATATAACGCACCCCTATCAAATTTGTCCTGGTGTCAGACACACGAAATCAAAAGAGAATAGAATCTGATAAAATAACTATGAAAATTGGTATGCGATCGCCTGTTCCCTTGATGATGTCATTATATTTACAAGTGTTAGATAAATCAATACAGCTTTTCTAACATAGTCAATATTTATATCGAATATTCTCCTTCGAAGAATGATAAGCGTGAACCATGGAATCATTTCCTTTATCAAAAGTCTAGATAAATAGATCTGCTTGTATTTTTAATTATCTTCAATGCAGATTTATTAAATCAATGTATGACTATGCAAAAGAGATTTTCATTGTAGTCATATCAAGAGTTCTGTCTTCATTGGACAAGTTTCAATCGTACCAGTATTTTCGTGTCTAAAAATCGATGCCTAACTAATACATTCTCTGTTGGAGAGAAAAAAACTTTCTCATATCAATCTAATGAAAAAAATAAGATACAAAATAATGGATTTTCAACCTAAATGTAATCCGTAGATAATGCATGCATTGGAGCGTTGCCATTAAGATATTTATTACGTTGACGATAACCACCAACAAATTTTGGTTTTTACTTTTTTCGTTAATAAAACTGTCGGATTCCAAAGATATTTTTATCTTTCTTAACTTTTCATTAATTATGTTAACAGAACAACTAAATTAGATGTGAATATTGTGACTTATTGAGGTACGACATCTAGCAATGGGATTTGAAGGATGAGCATACTTTTATCGTAAAGTGCCTTGTGATGCGTGACGAGCATAATTTAGAGCAGTCATTGTAATCATATCAAAGGATAAATTTCTACTACAATACGTATTACTACTATGACTTCGAAAAATTCAGAACAAACTGAATTTCAAGGCGAAGATATTTCTCCATCTAAAGATGGCTGTAATTATTAATAGGAATTTTGTTTTATTTTGCCAACAATTTATTTTGCTTTTTTGTTCGATAGGTCTTTTCAAAGAAATTCTTCGCGAAGGAACTGGCGATGAACTGCCTATGTTCGATGATAGAGTCACTGTTCATTATATTTCAAGGCGGCTTGATGGAGTAGAATTTGACAATAGTCGACAACGAGATCGACCTTTTTCTTTCTCTTTGGGTCTAGGTGAAGTGATTAAATCCTGGGATATTGGTATAGCAACAATGAAACGTGGTGAACTAGCACGATTCACTTCGAAACCTAAATATGCTTTTGGCCAAAAAGGACACAGCGACAAAGTTGGGCCAAATACAACAGTAGTCTTCGAAGTTGAACTCATCGATTTTGGCGGTATACTAAAAACAAAAATCTACTATCATTGTTATTCATGTATGAACGATTTTTTTCTAATATTCTCTAGGCAAAGATTTCAGCCCAGAACAAGATGGAAGTATTCGAAGGCGTATGATCAAAGCTGGCGAAGGAAATCTAAGACCGAATGAAGGTGCTACTATCGAAATGATGCTTAAAGGGATGTACAATGATCAAATATTAGAAGAACGAACGTCAACTTTTATTCTGGGAGAAGGATGTGAAGAAAATATTCCTGCAGGGTATTGATAAGTATTCGTATTCGCATCTTGTTCCTAGTAGGCCCGATGATATTCTAAAAGAAATAGACCAAAATTTTTAAACTATTCCTCAGCGTTCATCATTTTATAGAAGTTCTTGATAATTATTTTATTTCAGTGTCGAAGTTTGTGCTTTCAAGATGACTACAGGCGAACATTGTAAACTCTTTTTAAAATCAAAAGGACTTGCGGGTCTCGAAAAATTCAACATACCTTCTGATGCAACTGTTGAATATGAGCTTAAATTGATCAAAGTTGAACGAGTGAGAAAGCTGCTTATTGGTCTTATGAGAAAAAGAAACCATCGAAATGTTTCTCTTTAGGCCAAAGACAAAAGACCAAACACCGACGATGAAAAATTAGCTGAATCAGAAATTTTAAAAGCACGTGCAGATCAATTACTTAAAGTATGTTAGATATTTGTTTTTCTTCGAAATGACAGACAAGTATTGTTTTTTCCACGAAGGGTGGTCATTATGAAGTTGCTATAAAGAAATATAAAAAGATATATGAATATCTTCTATCAGCCATATTTAGTCACGATAGCGATAGACAAAGATGTAAATTTTTGAAAATTGCTTCTCAATCGAATTTGGCTCTATGCTATATGAAAATGGATAATTATGATGATGCTAAACGCGCATGCAGTAGAGCGTTAGATTTCGATGATCAAAATGAAAAATGTATGTTTCGTCGTGGTCAATGTCATTTAGCAATGCGATTTTATGATCGAGCAATTCAAGATTTTGAATCTGTTCTTAAGCTAAACCCATTGAATGCAGCAGCAAAACAACAAATTCAAATGTGTGAACAACAAATAAAAGCACATGAAGTCGAAGAAAAGCAGATATATAAGAAAATTTTCCAGAAAAGTCCTCAAGCCAATGCATCGAACAAGGTCAGCAATAACTTTCTGTTACATAATCCAAATAAAACTTCTTTTCTTTCGATAGGCTAATTGAATCGAAACAACAAGTTGTGGCATAAATCAAATATAGACTGAATCTACATGATTGTTTTTCATCTTTGTTTTATTATTAACTACTCTTTATTTTAATAAAAGAATCGTTAGACAATTCTTACATGAAATTTTCTTTGAAGTCGAAATTTTTTCAAAAAATTCGTACAAGATTAATTTTTTGAAAGAACCTAGTAATCCTTACATCATCCATAGCTAAATAGATCTGTACTGTATGACCAGCGACTATTGCAGTGGTAATTTCTTTAGTGTCTTTTATACTTCAGTAGTCATTCATGATTGAAATGCTCTGAATTCTTAAATTCATAAAATAAAGACTTTATTATCTTCTTCGTCAAATATCTATAATATCATTCTTTTCATTATATGACAAAAACAAATTGTAATACATGAAAAAAGCGAAAATTAATGAAACAAAATTTGACACCGATGAAATTTCTCGCGCATTAAAACAGTGACAGACGGCTATTGAAGCACTAAATAAATAGAATGGACGAAACATGTTTATATCAGCAGTGAACAATGAATCGATCGGTGAGATAAATGTCCTTTTCAAGCGGAAAAATGTCGCTCAGGTCAAAACTGAAATTTCTTTCCGTTCTTCATATAGAAGACGACCGTCTGTATACATATATGTGTACATTGATCAGGGTTGCCACCTCATCAGGTCAGAAAAGCGGAAAGTTTGATCAAAAAGAGCGGGCAATAGCGGAAACAAAAATAGAAAAAACGGAAAGCTGCTTTTTGCTGACCTTTCGCATTTTCAAGAGTTTAAGTAACCCTGTTTCATTGCTCAAAGTACTACCCACGGAAAAAATTTCACTAAAAAAACGCGGTAAACCGCGGTCTTGAAAACCGCGGTTTCAAGCGGTATTTGGAAAACGCGGGAGTCAGACCTTTTAGGCGTCTCTAAAAAAACCGCTGAAAACCGCGTTTTTTTAAAACGCGATACGACGCGTTTTTTTTAAATTGAATAAACGGTCTGACTACCCCGGGTTTTTTAAGCGCGTCAGCACGCGAACTCCCCAAGACGCGATCAGACGCGGTTTTAAAAAAACGCAGAAAAGCCGGTGATAATCGCGGTTTCAGAATACCGCATTTTTACAGGTGACCTGATCACTTCGGTATGCTCAGGTGAATTACCCTTCGTGGGGTAGTGTAGTGAACTATAAATTCCAATACTTCAAAGTCGCGTTGCAGCGACGAAGTTCATATTAAATTTTATAATACATTACAGATAGTAAAGTGCGCACGATATCCTTTCTGTTCTTACACATTGTTGCAGTAACATCGTACGAAATGCGCAAAGACAATACTGCCAGTTTATGATACCCCGACGCGGTTACGATCGAGTTCAACGCGGTTTACGATGCCGCGGTTTTTCTTGAAAAATATTTTCAGTGTGGAAAAGACTTTATATCACGTTTATGAAGATATACTACGAACCTAATCAAAGGTCGCCGAGGTACTCAAAATTTCATGCACAGAATGTGGTGAATATCATAAGCAGAATCTTCTCAGCACGTTTCATGAAGACGCGACTTACACTACCGCGGTTACACACATAATCACCGCGTTACATAAAACCGCGACCAACCGCGACTTATTCTAGCGCGTTGACACATATGATCACCGCGTTTTCATGAAACCGCGACTAACCGCGGTTCATAATACCGCGGTGCCAAGGAGGCGCACCGCGTTTAACCGCGTTTTTTCTAGGACACCGCGGTGCATCATGGGAGAACCGCGATAACAATAAAATCCCGCGGTTGACCGCGGTTTTTTCGAAATTTTTTTTCCGTGGGTACTTTGTTCGCAGTTCCACAACATAATAGACAACTCATAAAAAATATCAGGGCGTACCTGGGCTGAAACTCCAAGAAGAAAAGATAAACGATTTCCGGTCCAAAAATAAATATATTTTTTCTGTCAATTCTTTTTCTACTCATCTTTTCTAAAAGTGCCATACAGGGAAAATGTTTGTATCGTCCCAAAAAATGTTCGTTTTGTGATAGTGAAATGGCCGTATTGCGACTGTCAGTTCACTATTTTTCGCAGAGAATATACCACCGAAGGCGGCTCTTTTTTGGCACAGCACTTTAAAAGTTTATGCGAAAAGATGCAATCGAAAAAACTGAAACTCATTTTTCAGAGTAATAGAACAAAAAATATATATTCCTTTCCACATATAGCCGCCGAATGCGACTCCTTTTTGGCACAAATTAAAACATTGGCCCGAAAAACGTACAATCCAAAAAATAAAGCTCGCTTTTTACAAGTCTAAGAGGATAATGTTGTTCTTTACATTCAGCTGTCGAATGTGGCTATGCTTTCATCTATTATATTAACAAATGAATAAGAACTTGAAAGAAATTTTCTTTTCTTCACTGGCATTTCAAATCCAGGTGAATGTATTTCATAGTGGAGGCCAAAATGAACACGAAATGTGTTTCACTAGAAAAATTTATTGGAAAATCTATCATGTGAAGCGAAAATTTTTCAAGAATGGTATAGAATTATACGTTAGAAAATTATTTTCCAAGAAATTTTCGTCTAACATCACGTTATCTAGTTTCTTGCATGGTTAAGTTTTCAATTAAACAACGAAAGTCTTTTATATGAAAAAGCGGAAACTTTCCGCAAAAAGCGGAAGAGGTGGCAACCCTGATATTGATATTCAAGCACTTGCATATGAACTATGCATCCAGCTCTCCTACTATTCAACAGAATGAATGTATCGCTTGAAATTACTTTTCCTGTTAGCCAACGCACCACTCATTGATTCAATTCTTCTCTTGTTATTTTACATTAAACTAGAGCGATTATACTAACACTTTCATCACTGTAATATAAAGCATTTTCCCTAGAATTTATGCATTGAAATCACTTTCCCCATGTTCTAGCATCTTTCCGACAACGTGCTGATATAAATAAATATATTCTTACTAAAGATGATTCACAAAAGCATTTTTCTTCTATGGGAAAAAGCATTTTTCATTTATGCAAACTATTTTTCCGATGGAGCTTTTCATTTTTCCGCTGCAAATTCATTTTTACATTGGTTTGATGTCACTGGTGGAACGGGATATTTTCGTTACTGCTTTTTTGCTTAGTGTGTGCATCGTAAGTTTAGTTTTTAAGCATTTTTGACCTGAACGTCATTTTTCCGCTTGAAACGAGCATTTATGTCACCGATAAAATATTTGTCTAATCCTCGTTGGATTGAATGATTCAAGGTGTCGTAAGAACATCTATGATGATTCACCTGTTCTTGAGGGGTATTCAGGAAGGATCCAGCCATTTTCTCAACTGAACGCTTTTGTTTTGTTTTATGGACTATGAGTTTGTTCTAAAATGTGTTGTAGTAATTATTGAACCATGGATTCGCTGTCTATCCACAGTATAACTAGACCTTTCCTAAAATATTGGCACAATGTTGCCAAATGGCAACATCCGGTCGTAAAGGGTTAAAGAGCAGTAATTCGTTTAAAACAATCAAATTTTCAGAGCGCAGCGGTATCGTTTCATCGTAATTCGTTCTTTGCTTGGCTGATAAACTGTAAAATTCATTGCAATTCTGAGAAATATTCAAGTGCTTGAAAAGAAAAAAAATTCATCTTTTATAAACATGAAGAAAAAAGCCCTGGCAAATATGTTGAATGAAGCGTTTTCTGCGAGAACACTTTATGGCTGATTATTTTTGTTTCAGCCAGTTACTACCAACAAGCATGTCTATGTCGTAGCGATGTCATTGACAGTCTTCAATGCATACATTTCTTTTTCACTTGCCTCCATCTTATTGGCAGGTATTTCTCTTTCTCTATCCTGCATCACACACCCTAGTATGATAAGAAAGCAAAAATGTCTTTCAAGGCTAAAGCAAATGCTTGTGTAAACAAAAATAATTTCTCCTTGTTGACACTTGAAGAACCAAACAGTCTGCTCTTCACTACGATTTTTTTCAATTTTTTAAAGATTAAAATCATATATACTATTAAAATAAGATTGAATTAGTTCAAATGGGTTGCGGACCATCTGAAACAGTGGCCGCTACTCATCCTACAGTATCTCCACCAATTATCAATGGTCAATCAAAGCAAGCATCTGATGAGTCATTGAAAAATGATCTGAATCAAAGAAGAACAAGTACAACTTCTCATACTAGCAAAAGGATTAGAATAAATTCTGCTGCATCAATCCACAGTACGACAAAGAGAGTAACAAGTGCTTCATCGAAAACGACTACAACAGACCTAAAATCGTCCACTGTAGGAAAACAGTCTCGTACGCCATCATTGACATTGTATGATGATGCCAACTATGACTTGGTAATTATTTGGGTGGACCCTCATATTATTGATAGTGAGAAAACCTATGTGAACTCACTCACTAAATTCCGACGCATTACTGATGCAGTTTTCACATTCAATGAATTTGATCAATGTATTCATTTTCTTGATCATATCTATGAGAAGACAGCATTTCTTATTGTTTCGGATTCAATTGTCGAACAATTCTTACCACTTGTTATCGGTAAACCACACCTAGACTTTATCTATATACTAAATCAAACAAAACGGAAAATAGAATTGGTTAATGCCTGGAAAAAAAAGGTGAAAGGACTTTTCGATGATATTGAAGAGATATTCAAGGCGATTACGGCTGATAGTAATCACATAGATAGTTGGATTCCCATGAGTATTCTACCAAAGAACGATATAAAGAAGAATGAAAATGAAGCCAATGAACTGAATTCGTCGTTCATGTACATGTGCTTGTTGACAGAAATTCTTCTCAAAATGCAGTATGATTACAAAGTGAGGAATACACTATCCGAATTTTGTCGTGGTCGGTATCTCGATAATGAAGAAGAATTAAATTTAATCAATGAATTTGAGCAAAACCACAAAAGCCAATCAGCTGTTTATTGGTATACTAGAGATTGCTTTCTATATAAGACGATGAATTTTGCACTGAGAACACAAGATATGGAGATCATTATGAAAATGGGATTTTTTATTCGTGATCTTCATGAACAACTTGCAACCATGTATAAAAAACAAGTGGATCAACAAAAAGTATTGGTCTTTCGTGGTCAAGGTATTTTATTAAATGAATTCGACAAGATAAGAAAAAATATAGGCGGTCTGATATCATTCAACGTTTTCTTGTCAACCAGTACTAATATCGAAATATCATTAAATTTCGCCAAGGGTGCAGAAAATGATCCAAAACTTGTTCCAGTGCTCTTTAGAATGCACATTGACCCAACGAAATCATCGGTTCCGTTTGCTGACGTAACAAAATGCAGTTCTTTTAGCTATGAGAAAGAAACTCTTTTCTCTATGCATACAATATTTCGTATTGTGGATGTGCGACGTAATGAAGGACAATATTGGAACATTATTCTAAGTTTAACGAGCGACACTGATCCCGAACTAATGAAATTGACTGACCATTTAAGACAAGAGATTGGAGGCGGAAGTCATTTGCAACAACTAGGAAACTTGATGCTAAAAATGGGTAAGTTCGATCGAGCTAAATATATGTTCACGACGGAACGCAATATCACCAACGAAGGAACTTGGTTTGAACAAATTCGTTTCAACCATCAGCTCGGATATATCTTTCGTGAAAATGGTGAATTTGTAAAAGCATTATCATACTATGAAAAAGCGCTCGACATACAAAAGGCTAATCTTCCTAAAAATCATTCATCACTGGCTCCTATCTACAATAATATTGCGAGCGTGTGTTATTCAATAGGGGACTTTTCACGAGCACTGTCTTTTTACAAAACAGCACTTGATATCGAACTGAAATCACTTCCATCTGATCATCGTAATTTATCGAATACTTACAATAATCTGGGATCAGTTCATTGTTCAATAGGTGATTATTCGATTGCACTTCAGTTCTTCACAAAAACACTTGGAATTCGACAAAAAACTCTCCCGGACAATCATCCAGATATGGCTAGTATCTACAATAATATTGGATCAGTCTATAATTCACTGGGCGAGTATACCAAAGCGCTTGCACACTATCAGAAAGCTATTGATATTCAAGAAAAAACGCTTCTCTCTACACACATCGATCTAGCAACGAGTTACAGCAACATTGGTATCACATATAATGCAATGGGAGATCATGAAAAGGCGCTTGAATCTCATAAAAAAGCTCTTGAAATCAGAACCAAATCGCTTCTTTCGCATCATCCAGATATAGCTTTAAGTTATAACAATATTGGCTCAGTAGAAATAGACATGGGTCATTACACGACGGCGCTATGGTATTTAGAAAAAGCGCTCGAAGTTCGCGATAACTGTGATGCAGGATATCATGTTGGTTTTGCTAATGTTTATGACAACATTGGTCGAGTTTACCAGTCTATGGATGATAAATTAAAAGCACAATCAAATTTTCAAACTGCACTAGAGATTCGTAAACATTCTCTGGATGAAAATCATCCCGACATAGCCAACAGTTATAATAATCTTGGTGCTATTTACAACTTAATGGAAGAAAAACAGAAAGCAATCGAATACTGTGAGAAAGCTCTTGTGATTCAAAAGCAATCTCTATCAGAAAATCATCCAAGTTTAGCAAACACTTACAACAACATTGGTTTGATTTATCACTCAATGAAAGACAACACAAAAGCACTTACTTTTTGTCAGCAAGCTCTTGCTCTTCAGCTTAAATCATTACCAGAAGGTCATCCATCTATTGCTACAACTTATAATAACATCGGTTTAATTCATAATTCAATGAAAGATTATCCAACTGCATTATCCATGTATGAAAAAGTTTTGTCTATTCAGCAAAATGCAATGCCAGTAAAAGAACAATCGTTGGGAATAACATATTATAATATAGGGTCTACATATTCGTTGATGGAAAATTGTGCACAAGCTATTAGTTTTTTCGAGAGGGCATTAACGATACAGCAGAAAGCATCGCCACCAAATTATAAGGATTTGGTCAATACGTATAACATTATTGGCCGTATGTATAATGAAATGAATGACTATGAAAAGGCGATTTCGTTCTATGAAAGATCGATCACTATTTGTGAAGATCATTTTGCTAATGATGAACAATTATTAGCAACCACTTATCATAATATAGCTCTCACATACCACGCCACGAATGATCTGTTAAAAGCGTTGCCCTTTTATCAACAGACACTCTCAATTTGTATGAAAAATCCTTCTGTAACTGATTTATCATTGGCTCACATATATAGCAGTATTGGAACAATATATGATTCGAAGGAAGATTATGAGCAAGCTATTAGTTATTATCAAAAATCGATCGAACTTGAAGAAAATGAAAATCCGAAAAATGATTTATTTTTATCAACTATCTATAGTAATATTGCAGCTGCTTATAAATCCTTGGAAGACAATCCAAATGCCCTTGCCTATTATGAAAAAGCACTTACGAGTCAAGAAAGAAGTTCGGCTACTGACCATTCATCTTTAACATCTATCTATAAAAACATGGCATCTATCTACAAATCGATGGGAAATTATTCAGATGCTGTCACTTTTTATCGAAAGGCAATTGGAATGGAAGAGAAAGAACTTGCTTCATATTCAGATGAGGCTACCTTGAGTAATACATACAGTCATATTGCAACCGTGTATAGCTCTATGGGTGACAAAGAAAATGCTCTTCTATGCTATCAAAAAGTATCAGCCATCAAGGAAAAGTTAATGTCACCTAATGATCCATCATTACTTCCAATTTACACTAATATTGCCTCGCTTTATCTATCTACAGAACGGAAATCAGATGCCGCTAAATATTTCGAGAAATCACTCCGGATTCAAGAAACATTACCATCGCCAGATTACTCGTTGACGCATGCTCTTCGTATCAAAACAGCTCAGATTTACGAAAGTTTTAAAAATTATGGTGCAGCTCTCCAACATGCCGAGAGCTACGTTAGTGAAGCTAGTTCAGTTTTGGGTTCTGATCATCAAACTGTAAAAGCTACTCAAGATTACATTGAAAGTCTTCGTCGTGTGACTACGTGAGCGACTGACATTCACTCTGTTTTCTTATCTGGTGTGATTGTTTTTTAAAGTACTTTTATTGTGCACAAATGATTAGATTTTGAAACATAATTATTTGAATAATCCAGACTGTTGTCTATTCATAGTTCATATAGGTTTGATGTTGATCGGGTTTATATTTTGTGTGGTTGAAGTTCGTATGAATCAGCTATGATACGTGAAAAAGAAAGCTAAACATCAGTCACCACGGGATTGTTGGAGTGAAACATCTTTAAATTTATAGTTGATACAATAGAAAATGACTCCGGTTGAAGAATTGAGTTGATTTGATCAATTATTTTTTCAGCATTTTTGCTTAAATATCTAAATATTCATTCTACAAAAAACATATTTTAAACCTGGTAAATATTGCCAGAGACACCTTAGTGACCTAATTTCCTACAACTCTAGCAGAAGACATTAATCGCTGATTTAGTATTCCTCTCTATTGTTCCTTTTAAAGGTAGTTTTCAATTTCCTTTCTCATTATATAATAAATATATGACGCAGTGATACTTGATCATAATATTAATTGGCATATTGTTCACGGGTTCGAAATTCAATGAATTTATTATTAATACCGATTTAAATTACTTTACAATAGTATACATCAAACTGTCTTGTCTCTCTCAAAGACTGTATTTACTGCTAAAACAAGGAAAATGACTGCAACATATTATTGTCGCTGCAAATTCTACTGCGTTCTCCGGTGTGTTTTTACATTCCTAAAATAGTATGTTGGTGCTGCAAAATTTCATAAACACATCCACCCTCACCCCATCAATGTTCCGCGTCACGTTTCAATGAGTGTCAAACATGTGTTTGAATTTTATGATATATGAAAATATTTTCATCACATAGCATATTTCTGTGTGCACTCACGAACGATGGTTTCGTATTCGGTGCGATTCTGTAGAAAGACACATGCTGCTATACTGTTACCCGGAGATGGCGTGTCTGCGTCAGGAGATGACAATAGGGATTGGATTGATAGAAGAGTTTTCTCGATTGTCAGACATGGATTCCAACGATGGTGCAATATGCCGATGTAAATATTTCCGTCTTCGTCAATATTGGGATGAAAGATTCTAGTCAAACATTTTATTACAGGTGGGCTGAACGGATGGTTCTCTCTGAACAGAATGTCTAGTACATAAATACCATCTTCGAATGGGCTGCCATTCGGGCCGATCATAGTTGCCTGATAGTGAAGAGGACCTGTATTTTCCTGTGCAGGACCAATAGTTAGATTTGTTACTGCTGAACCGTGTTCTAAATCACGTATCTCTTCCAAGATGCGAACTAAAGGCATTTATCTAAATAAGCATTCATTTTTTCGGTTTGATTTTAAATAAATCTAAATAGAATATTCGAAAATTCTATTCTTACTCAGAACAAATAAATTCTCACTTCTAATTCTGAATGAAATGGAAGAATTTATCGGGATTTGTGCAGCAGTGGGCAGATTTTCAAAAAAGGAAACGTTCTAACTTACCTAAATCTCCGTATTTCGAAAACTACGTGGATGAAAATTTCAAGTTTTAGAAAATATCAGAAACTTTCGTAATTACCGCAATATTATTCACCATAAGCCAAAACCAAAATATAGTAATTTCCAGGTAATGACCGAAATCACTCGTGAATCTACTTTTTTCTGGGTTCTAATTTGCTTTCATATTATTAGTTATTTCCGAAATTAGCCGGAAATTTCTTTTTGTAGTTGAAACTGATTTCGCAAATTCCAAGGAAATGTTTTTGGGAGGTATCTGAAAATATGTTTTTTTCTGATCATTTTCTTTCGCATGTAGGGCTATTACAAAGTTTCAATGAAATTTCTGTAGGCATTCTTGTATGTCTTTTAATAGTGAGAGAGAAATTTGTTATTTTCGGAAATTTCAGCCTACCTCTTATTCTTATGAAAAAAACCTATTTAATACGACGTTGAAAAAATGAATCATGCCTGCAATGAATACAGATCTGAAATGAAGAGAGTAATACATACGAACGCATATAAATATCAGAGCTTATCAGAAAAGAAAAATGCTTTTGGTTGCACATTGATGTTGCAATATTTGCTGAAACCAGCGGGTATCATAACATATTGACGCGCTTTCGTTCTCTCTCTATTTCAACACATAGATGTGGTATGAATATGAAACTATTCTTTTCCTTATCATGCTGACTTGGGGTGTCGGTTTTCTGGATATCTGCGTTTTTGTGGCACGAACAAGCAAATTTACGTGCATAATTATCCTAATAAACGACTTTCATTCTCATAGTCACATACTTACACAGCGTCGACCGAATACAAACATCGTCAATTCCGTTCTGCTCTACAAAATTACGTACTTATTCTAGTAGCACTTGCCAGACATAACATCATTCCATTTACAGAGATATACAGAAAATAGAAAGAATGCTGACTGATATCTACTCAAACTGGTTTCATCGGAAGAAAATATTGTATAGACAATACATGATGAAAATGATTCTTCTTTCTCTCACACTCACTCATCACACCTCAAACACGATCAATTCGTTCAACATTATTTCAAATGGTATGTGTGAATGTAGATGTCGATACAGCTCTTCCCTCTAAAATGACATCCCAAACGATACAAAATAACGCATCATAATGGTCCCATCCTACTACGGACAGAATAACAGAAAACTATGGTCTAGTTATAAAACTAAGACTTGTTTGAAACCACATGAAATTTTCTGGTTCTTTCAAAATTGTATTTTGTTTGAAAATCCAATAATCATTCGTATCAAAAGAAGATAATTAGAAAGATCACTAGCATTCGTCCCCCTCAACTAATATTCATGAGTATCATCTACAATAATTAGTTTGATATTGTCACACCACATATTAATGAATTTATCCACCACTGATTCAAACGTCACCTGTACCATTAGTTGTGCCATATCTTTTTTAAACACAACAGCACTTGTACAGAACCATCGCTACCTAAACATATTACAAATCATTAAACATCATTTTTACATTAAACTAAGTGTTTTCGCAATTTTATTTAACAGAATTGATGAAATGATATCACATTTACACAAATATTTCTGTTGCTTATGACCGTGGATTGATTTATCATAGCCAAGGTCATAGTAGTATGCTAATAATAATTAAAAATAGTTAACTGGACACAGAAAAGTAACAAAATTCATTTAGAACTTTTCAATCAGCACCTACTACAACTCTTTTTGTCTCATGAAAGTTAGTTCTATGCTCAATCAGTACGGGTTTCGCTTGCACATGGTCGAAATTAATGTTATATTTTCCATAATGAAAGATCATGATTTTATTAAAATAACTATAAAACAATAATCAGAAAACAGATTGGCCCGACTCTGATCTAATGAGCAACATTTAGTAGTGCAATAGCTGTGTAGTGTAAGTTATTAAATAGTGCTTTTGAAACACTGCTACCATTCTAAAATCTCTTTTTTGTAAATTTTATCTAAGAACTTGGCTGTTAACATTTATATTGTAAGTTCGATTCTTCCAATTCTGTACTTTTACTCGTTTAATAAAAGAACAATTAGAGAAGTCTCTTATGAGAATCGATTTATGAATTAATAAGATTTGAAGTGCTATGCTACTTTCTTACAAAAGTATGTTGTGAACTTGTGAAAGATATTTTCATCAAATATATCAATTCATTGGTTCTAATAACAACAGTGCATTATCTTTTTCTGTTCATATAATTAGCTCATTAGTAAGACAGTGCTATATGTCTTGAAGTACTCTTCATTTGAAAACTGACCTCTCTACAATATTTTTTCTCTTTTATTTTAGCTGAATGTTTCATCTTTCGATTAGCGATGATTCGAGATAAGTCGAATCTACATCTTCCGAAACCATTCACTCCTATCAATTACTATATCGAAAAAGATATTCTTACGCCGCTATTCGAATTTTCAAGATATGCTAGTCCTTTGTTAGAACATCTGACTTTTCAGCAAGCATTTTCTTAGTCAACAATCAGAAGATTGAGCTAAATTAAGATTTATTTTTAGTTCTTATGGATATATTTAATTGTATTATTACTAATGATCACTTGGTTACTTATTCCTCATACGAGATGCAACATCATTTAATAACAAGTTACTCGTTGAAAAGGCTTTTCCATTTTGGTTTTTACACTTTCTAATATAGTTATATCCGTTATCTGTCCGATTGTCTATGTTTTTTCTCACAACATCTTTATAACTAGTAAGAAGAAGCTGTAACTATTTAATTGGGAATCTATATTATAGAAAATGAGCTAGATGAACAACGAATAACTCACCTGTAACTTTCTCTGCAAATGTCCTATCACTTGTAATACCAATCAAAGAGATTTTTATTTTCGTTGAAATACGGGCGATTAATATTGCTTGTGAGTTATTCCAATATTTTAAATTCCAAGAATTTGTGATATTAACTACTTGCGTCATGTTGATGGCACTTTTAGTATTATTTTTTCTAGTAAATATACAGTGAACTTTATCATTGTTTGATAGTACTACGATAATGGATTCTGGATCGCTTAATTTCCAAATATTTTCAACAGATCGATTGCAATCTGGATTACCATTGATAGGTAAACTTGAAACTGTGCCAAGTATTCCACTGGGCAATTTAACATCTTGAATCGATATATCTGTATCCGTAAAGGTGGCCATACGAAGATTAGAACCTACAAATTTAGCAGTAGACAAGAGATAAACATTCGTGAATATTGTCTCTCGGGCATTGGCACCAGCAAAATTTACTTTATGTAAATTTGCATGCTGAAAGTTAGCGTTAATACAGCGTATACTAGAAAAAGTAGCCTTTTCAGATAGAATAAAAGACATCTTAATCATTCTAGCATTTGCATTGAAAAATATACTACCCTCAATATGAGCTCGATAAAAGTTTGCATGAGAAATATTGCTATTAACGAAATTAGCCGTCGACATATTTGATTCCTTTAAAAATATATAATTGAATGCATTGCTAAAGCTGGTATGAACTCCTACACATCTAATACACTTGCGCAACAAAAGAACAAAAACGAAGTTGAACACCAGCTAAAAAAGCTCATGCATTGGTAGTTCGGATATTGAACTATTCATATTCATATTATTGAGATCAGCTGTTGAAAGATCGAGTGGGTTTTGACTCGCAGTCAATTAACCAGCTTCGTATAAGAATTGTATTATTTGAGCTTTGCCATGCGAATCAAATTGTCGAACAATAGATAATGTTTGCACACGTGCTAATGTAGCTATTATAGTATTGTTTGTCAATGAGCCTTGGTTACGTTCGAGCATCTGACCAATTTCTCTGATATATTCAACAAGCAATGTATTTCGATATTGTTGTATTTGAATATCTAATCCATGCTTTCGTTGTTTCTCTGATATATCTCGCTGTTCTGCACTGATATTATATTCTTGTTCACGTTTTTCATCAGCTATAGTTTTCTCAAGTTCACGTCGTTCTCGTGCTAATTGTCGATCTTCTGCTCGTTGTTGTAAAGTAATATTTTGCTGATGAATTGTAATCACAACAGTTGATATACCCAATACCATAGGAAGTAAAAAAAAGACGGTATGAGTTTGATGATTTCCTTTAATGTGAATATACGATCGTTTGACTTCTGATGACCAGTCATTGTAGATGTGTTTTGTTTAGCTGTCATGAAAATTTACGATAATTTTTGCTTTTTACACCAACTAAATATTCTATTGAAACATGTATTATTATTCTTTTATAAGTGTTGAATATCACATGGGTCAGTAGCACGTTCTTTGATCGGCTCTAAGTACAAACTAACAAATACCTAGAAATATTCATCATGTTCTTTTGAACAATTAATGGTACTTGATAATGAAAGAGGATAGCAACATTTACAGATTACTCAATATCGCTCGATTGTCTGAAGTTAAGCAAATACATGATTTTATATTGTTCAGGATGCATGACAAAAATCCCAGATCGATCTGTACTAGTAACGCTTAGACTGAGTTTCTTGTGTTTTCTATTGAAGAATCTCCTCCATATGTAATCTCCCAATTAACCAGTACACACATTTGATCAACCAATTTTACAGTGCAACAGAAGTTTTAAGTAGTTTCTAGATAGACAAATGCTTACTGAAGACGTTAATTTGACTCATATGCAATGATAAAAGTGAGTGATGATATATGGTGAGCTACTGGCTACAAGACTATTATATTCTATATTATTTTAAAATAGTTCTGCTTCTTCTTCTCGATATACTTATATATACAAATTTGTAGTTTAATTTATTATTTTATCCCCTCTGAAATAAGTCTCGTATACACGTCTATCAAGGTAAACTTTTACAGCGACAACAAAGAAAGGAGAATTGCAATAAATCCATTTTAATTTTTTCCTACTCACACTAATGCAACCAAAGCAACTGTTGCTGCCGATTCGTGATGTTCTCGGGAGAGTCAGAAAAAAAGAGAACGAGAAATATTTTTGTTGTATTACTTTTCTATAGTCAACTCACTGAAAGTAAAAAGTAAAACATAAAAGTAAACTTCACTTCAATTCTTGATTTTTCTGTCCAAAAATTTTCTTTCGTTTGTTTTATTACTAAATTTACATCATCTGAATTATAGATGAAAACTTTTTATGGTTTGAATCAGCTGTTCAAGTTCAACTATGATAGTACTTGATGGGTGAATTCAGAAAACTGATCATGATAGCCTATAGAATGACTGTGAGATACAAAAGAAATGTAGAGAATAACTAAATTTTTTCAATAGCGCAGATGCTCTGGCGTCATCACTTTTTTTCTTTTATGAAAACGCAACAAAAAAAAGTATATTAATCCACTACACCCGACTACTTTAATCTATTGATCAGTTACTTTTGAATAAGAAATCACACATCATTATCTGAATCGAATGGTCAAAACTTTTGTTAATCTTTAGATGACAAGCACGGATGAACAAGGTCTTTCTTCTGATCGTATCCGAGGTCCACCAGAGATCGATGCAAGAAATTCATGCAATGCTGATGTCCTCGATTCCTTGCCGAGCACCTATCAAATTTGCAGATTGTTTGCATTCACCAGCAAAATGGTTGTAATGAGGTTGTTTTTTCTTTACTGCTTCTTATCGATTACTATTTGTTTTAGGGTATTACATATGATGCGCTTGATAGACATGAAGCGCCATTTCCCTATGGAAATCAGTAATGTCCTGACTGTTTATTGCAAATATTGAGAAAGGATGGAGTTCAGTATCAAAATGATTGTGAATTAAACGAAATAACATGTTCTGATTGTAAAATTGCTTTTAGACCATGTGATCTGTCTTAGATCACAGCTTAAAAGATCAAACGAGAATATCAATAAGCTACATGAAGACCAAGACTTCCATTTAGTTCATCGAAAGACGCTCTCATGTAAGTCAAATGTCACATTCAATGTAGTAAATACACTGACAAATAAAGACTACAAGTAGCTAGCTGGTCACTTCAGCTTATAGAGTAACATTTTAGAAACTTAGAAAAAGCTATAATATTTCTAAAAACTATATTTAGAACATCTTGATTTTTAAACAATGATGAACTCATGTAATATACGAGAGAGCTGTTATGAAAAATCTACTGTGTTGATTGAAATTTTATTTATTACGCTAATAGATTTAAAATGAAATCAAAATTTTCAACTTTCACTGACAGAGATAATATGTATGTGAGTCACGATTCTTCAGAATGCTATTGGTTTAAAAGTTGAAAATTTCAATTGAATTGAATTTTCAAATTTAGTAGACATATATGCTATATATGTATATATCAGACGGATTGAATCAACGTGTAATGAAGTGAATCCGAGGTTCAAACCAAGGTGCCATATCGTATTTGATAATATGAGTGCTTGGAATAATCTAATGCTACCATTGAATCATCCTCGAGAACTATTCGTTGGCAAATCGGACACTCTCTATGTATTATATGCTTTTCATTATCTAGCGATGCGTTATTCAAAAAAAAACCAAAGAAGTCTTGTCGTTGGCCAACATATGAATGGAATACGATGAAATTAGTTGAATTATCCTTCTGATCTATATTTCGATCGAAATGGTAATCTCTACGTTACAGATATGACAAATCACATAGAATTCAAAGATTCCCTATCGAAACAACACTGTAATATTGATTCTTGTGGTGAATATTCAATAAAGTAATCTTGTAACAATCGAATATAAACAACAGTATTCGTGCGTTGATTTACAAAATTTCAGCTTTTTTCTTTGAACTTTGTAAACATGATGTAATTAGGTTTGCTACAATCGTAGACATATTACAAGTCACTCCTATGTCCTTTTATTTTTTTCAGTTTGTTACTGTTGCTTTAATTTTTTATTCGATGCTCCTATTCATAATATTAATATTCATTCAAACAAGTCGCTAATGATGAATATTGATAATGTTTGAAACATATCCACAAGGTAGTCTGATTGAATCTCAACGCCATACTTGACTGGCATAGAGAAAATATAGGAATCTCGAAATTATCTGCAAACAACGCTCTATTCTGTAAGGTAGCTTTAAAGTTAGACTTTTCTGGTTGTTATTTTCTAAATATTATCATTTCGGAATAGTTTTCAACTATTTCCATTAAGAAATATTTATTATTATCACTTTAGCTAAAAATTCACAAACTCTATTCGGCTGAGTGATTTTCCTAGTATTTTCTCCAATAACTATGATCATCTATTCGAATTATATGAACCAAGAGATGGATCCATTTTCATTCACTTGTAGTTATTGAAAAAGATTTTTATGTTATGTATTGGTTCGAATCTCGAATTCATGAGTAAATTTCGTGACATAGTGACATAAAATTAATTACATGCTATCTTTTATTGTAACTTGATATGCAAGTGAATATCAGTTTTGAGTTTGATTGTTATCTAAAAACTAAATTTCATTTTAAAAATGTATTGATTGCAAAAATAAAAATACTTCTCTCAATTATAGAAACATTGAACAAACTCTATCCTAAATACATATCAGTATCAGCCTGTAAGTGTGGACATTGATCGAGATTTTTCAATTAATTACAACGAGTAATAATTTGATGATGAATCATATGTGTTAGAGTATACATTAATTATTAAGAGAAGTAAGCTAATCTCAAGCGTGTTAACAGTAAAATATCCAATAATTAATTCACGTTTTATATTTTACATAATGATTTCGCTTATTCAAGATGTATCTAGAAATTCCTTACTTATTCTTAAAGAGTATCCGGAAATGATAATTCAATCTTCGAACTCATACAAGTCAGTAAGGTGGCTTTCATCAAGGCTACTAGCTACGTTGAGTTCGAAACTATATGAAAACCAAAAAGCAAATGACAGCGAAGCTGAACTATAGTTATTGTATGATTATACAAGCTTATTACCCACAATCGTATTTCAAATAAACTTAAAGAGCAACTAACAGACCAAGGATAAATCGAAAACTTGCAACTTAATGCATTCGTCAAATCTAGTTATTTTATCTTTCAAGGCTGGTCAAAAGGTAGACTGCCAATTACTATGAATAGAACATATGATAATGAAACAACACTACTCTAAACAAACTTGATAATCTGAACTCAATCTGTGGATAAGTATGTTTCCAATACAAAAACGAGGTTATGTAATTAACAGAAAGCTAAGGATAATGAACGCTCACAAGAAATGGTTTGGCAACATCAGTTTGACATCATTCATATAGTAGATTGCTGTTTTACCATTTGAAAAATTCAAAAATGCTGGATAAATCTAATAAAGAACTTGTTATGATGATATTCGCCAACATGGTAAAATACATATTAGTGTGCATTCCTACCAAGATCAGTTATACGGTATGAGAATATTTTATTAATAACCAGTGTTTCAACAAAGAAGATTACAGGCAGATAATCGACTATACATTGCTACTTCAAATTAAAATTTCAGATAATAAATGAGCTAAGGTTCGTATTCATACGATATCATTTTTCATTTCTTATTCTATTTGTAGGAGCAATGTTATGGGACGACATCTTTCGTCTCGAACATAATTTCACATTACATATTTTATGCATCAATATCGTTTCATTTGACTTCCCCAATATCTCTATGTATTTATCGATCGACATTAGATTATCAATGGCGTTGGTTTTTGTTGTAATGGATCTATCGATTGGTTCTTATTTTTTATTCTTTTTGTTTTATCGTTTCTTTTATTAATATTTGCTTTTCTTGTTATGATTAAATAGATAAACTGATATTCAAGAAAATCCTAACCTAGACATTAGTAAGTAATATCAAGTAGTCTATTTCGTGAATTTTATGGAATATCCAAGTAAACGTGTTAAGACAAAAGTTGAAAAAGTAAAATTTAATCCTGATCAAATACGTGAAGAACAAAACCCATTTGTGATACCAACTGTCGTAGATGATACAGAAAAACTCAAACGATCGATTACGTGGGTGAATGCATTTTGGGTATCAAGTGGCGTGCCTGCTCTTGTTCTATTTTCAATTGGTGCTATCGCTGCAACTGTTGGAAATCCATCGTGGTTTGTTTGGACTGTGTCGATCATTATCGGTTTTTTGCAGTCATTTGCCTATGCCGAAATTGCAGGACTTTTTCCAAATAAGTCGGGTGGTGCATCAGTATATGGAGCAATTGCTTGGATACGCTATGGAAAGATATTAGCCCCTATCTCAGTCTGGTGCAATTGGTTCGGTTGGTCACCTGTAGTAGCCATCGGAACTGGACTAAGTGCTGGATATATTCTCAGTATGTTTGACTCAACTTCGTTAGTGAAAACATGGCAATTTAAAATTCTTAATCTTGATTTCATTAAGGCAGATCTTTCATTGAGGATAGATTCAACTTTTTTTATTGCAGCAATATTGATGCTCATCGTTTTCGCTGTGCAGCATCGAGGCATTTTGTCAGCTGCTCGCATTCAAATGATATTTGCAATCTCGTCACTATTGCCTCTAATTATCTTAGGTATAATACCGCTGTTTATGGGGAAAGTACATAGTAAAAATTTTAAACCATTTGTGCCACTTATGCGTGATGCAACAACAAATAATATTACCACTGGAAGCTGGGATAGAGCAGGTATTACATTATTTTCTGGGGGTATGTTCATCGCTGGCTGGTCGACGTATGCTTTTGAAACAGCTGTATGTTACACCAGTGAATTTAAAAGCCCAGGATCAGATACATTCAAGGCGATATTATCATCTGGTTTATTGTGTCTCTTTGTCTTCACTTTAATTCCAATTACCTTTCAGGGAAATCTGGGTCTTACGGGAATGCTTGATCCAGGCATCTATAAAGGAATGGGAGTTGCAAAGGCAATGGCCGAGATGATTGGAGGTGGTCAAATAATGACAAATATTGTGGTTGTACTATTATTGCTATCGCTTCTACTTTCTATCATGACTGCTATGGCAGGCTCATCACGTACACTTTACCAAGGTTCGGTTGATGGATGGCTTCCAAAATTTTTATCTCATGTTAATCAAAATGGCGCACCGACGGCTGCAATGTGGACGGATCTTCTTTTCAATTTAGTTCTCTTATTATTGTCTGACCTCGTGTTTGTTTTAGCAGCATCAAATGTCGGTTATATCATCTTCATTTTCATGAATGTGAACGCTGCATGGATTCATAGAATGGATCGTCCAAACTGGAAGCGACCATTCAAAGTACCTAATTGGTTGCTGTTAATCAGTGTCATCCTTAGTTATATGAATCTTGTGTTTCTTGGCATGGGAGCCGATACATGGGGAGTTGGAACACTTTTTACAGGTTTGATATTTGCGGTCTTAATTATTCCAGTGTTTATTATACGTCATTATATTCAAGACAAAGGTTCCTTTCCTGCTCTTATAGTAGATGACTTCAATTTAGATGATGAAAAAACTGTATCAGACCAGGCTGGTATACTTCCATATATTGCCCTTGGAATCGGTATCCTCGTTGTTATTCTCTCGCGTCTCCTTGCGTACTACTAAACTATTTTAATTTCAGATGAATAATATGGCGTTTGTTGTTGTTCTGATGGTGATAATTACGTTATATTATTAGTTATTGCTCCTAGTTTAGTTTACACTGTATTTAAAACTGCTATGATTGGTTAATCGAGATGCTCAAATCTACACTAACTATATGTTCTTATATAAATCTTTTTTTTTGACTATCATCGATTGAAAACTATTCCTCATTTGTTACGCACACTTTCTGTCGATGTTTCTTTTCATTCTTTCTTTTATATTTGCTCTTATTTAACTCTATGCCTTATCTACATACTAGTTTGTCGTTTTACTAACGATTCAAGGATATTTTCTATGCTTGTTCCTTTTTGTTTTTCAAGTGATGTAAATTTTCTGTTTATGACTAAATTAGTTATATTTATCTATCTTGTGTTAAGTTTTTATATTTTCAATGAAAATATTTTAATAGTTCAAGAAATAAATTAGCGCCATACGTTTTAATTATATTTAATTCAAAATAAATAAATAATATTTTAAAAATAATAATTGGTAACGTTTCGACACATGAAGTTATTATCATCACACTGCTCGGTGTATGAGTTTATTGACATTTTTCGTTCAGATGTTAAACGTCTGCTATAATGCTAGCGTGTAACACCCCAAACAGACCAAAAAAATAAAACAGAATTAAGCAACATGATTGGTTAATTCACACTTAAGTCATCTTTTTGAGACGATTTAGTGGTTAATTCTGTTTTATCTTTTTGGTCTATTTGGGGCCTAAGCCTGTTGGTTTTTCTCTATCCTTCTATCGCCATCTTGCAATTTCGATTTAGACAAGGTCGTTCTTCGCTTGTTTTCAATATCATATTATATTTGTGATGATACTTCGTACAATAAAGAGTAATAGATGTTAAATCTTGCTTTGTATTGCGTCTAATTTTGGTCGATTAATATCATCATGTGGCATTATCTATTTCCCAATCTCGGCCTCGAATATCAACTGCATCGGTGAGAAATTTGGAGATAGCAATAAAGATTTTATTCTATCAATAATATCATATTCAAATCTAGTATCTGAGATCGCAATAAATTCATTTTCAACATGGGCAGTACAGGAGACTTGAGCGATGTACCCAGGTCCAAGACAACGATGCGTAAATTAACGCCTGATTATATCGTTTTATAGCCGCTGCAGACCTGTTAAGATGACCTTTCTGATGGTCGGAATGATTGTCCTGAGTAGCTTTCAAATTGTTTTCTGTGAAATTGTTTAGCAAAGATTCACCAGATCACGAACAGATTGTTTTCAAAGTATTTGTCATGTTCAGAGTCAATTCATCATGTCCTTTGTTTCTTTTTTTGTTCAAAGGCTGTGGATGAAGACTCGTGCACACACATTACGGTTATCAAATTGGAGTGGAAGTATCGATAAACTTTCCAGTAGGACATGATATTTTCTTACTCTCATTATGACTCACCTCTTTCCTAGTGATTCGATCGAGTTGCTCTGAATTAGGGAAATTGGGTTACACAATGAACAATAAAGAATTGGTTGTGTTCAACAATAAATTGTTAATATAGATTTTCTCTAGCGATTTCTGTTTAATTCATGTCTTCTTTTTTAAATTTTACTGATTGAGGAAAACGTCATTGAACCAAACAATGCACTGTCTGAGTACCTTGATCAATGATTTTAATATCAAAGGTAAGAGAAAATCTGGTGGCTATAGTTCATGATGAGATCGAGAACGAGGGGAAAATTGAAGGAAAGTCAGTTTGAGCTAAATCGCAACTTCATTCGTCAATAGTTAGGACTCAGATTTGAGCTACTGTAGCGTTTCTCGTGTTTATATTCAACCTGTTTCTGTTCTGTACAACGCAGTTGTCCTAGAAATTGAATGATTTGTTCGCTTCTTTTTATTAATTTTTCAATAGCATTGTCAAACAGACAGGAGACAATCTTTAAGCCTATGATGATAAACTTTGTGCACAATTCTGCTTATATATTGAAAGATGAACTTTGATTCTATCTTTCGCAACCTAAATGACTAAGAATGCGTTGTAATTTGACATATGAAGAGACAAGCAATAAGAAGATTTCTTATTTCATTTTTCAAGAAACAGTCTATTTTGCGTGCTAAAAACGGAATGTTCGGGAAAAATAGTTCTCTCTATCTTTTTAGTTGATCTTAAACAAACTTAAAATGATCTTAAGTAATTATTCTCTAAGTCTTTCGAAACAAACAAGAAAAATAGAATCTTACCAATTGTGTTCTTTATTTCATTCTAGACCAGTGGGAGCCTCAGCCGTTCGTCGTCCCCTCGTAAAAAAATCAATATCATAAAAACTTTGCCGATTTCAAACATCTGCGAACATGTTGACAAGCAACTTTCATCAGTTCCTTCGATAACAAAGAATATTTTTGAAAGTTCCATCTTGATAGATAAACTTATCAATGCACCAACAGTGATTTCTCATCTTGTTGAAGGATGAAGACAATCGTTAGTGGCATTTGTTCCTCACTAGCTGAAACATCCTTGTCTTTATGTATCGTCTCATGTTTACTTTTTTATTTATTTTTCTGTCTGCATAGATCTTTTTATCTGCTGGTCTATCTGTTGTTTTTCAAGGTGAACCAGTTCGTTTTATTTTTATCTCGATCAGATTTTTAACATGCACAATCAGTTTATTCTGATCGAATCTTGGACGATTAGTGGTTTCTTTTTTGATTAAGCTCGAAGGTTTATATGAGATGTCTGATATTAGTCACTTCTCACATCCATATGAAAGTAATGGAGAGGTCTTTTCTCTTATTTGATATGCTTAGATTTTTCCGATTCATTTTCAATAGTTTGTTCTAAATCGCTCTGTCAACAGCCAAATTCACGTCGAAAAGTTCGATTGTTTTGATATTTTTATTCACAATAATTGTTAATATGTTCCCTGAAGAGAAATTGAAGATTGGAATGACGGAGAAAGCTGACGAAAAAACAAACACGACGATCGACTTGATACGCATTGCACTGTAATTGATTGACCATTGAAGAAAAAGTGATTATCTATGCATGAATTCGTTGTTTTAAAGAATATGAAAATTGAATGGAAAGAAAGTCGATTCAAGTCGTAACCGTCCTGAATTCTTTGCATTGGCTCGTGAAAAAAGCTCAGATATTTTCATATTTGTCTTTTATTCAATGGTTAGTAGGATCAAGGTTGAGGGTGAGGGTGAGGATGAGAGAAAACTTGCTTGATTCGAATAATTAATGAAATCTCTACATTCGTTTCTATCTCTCAAGGCCAAACAATCATGTGATGTTGTCCTTGGTGTTTGTATTATTATTGCGTATTTTATAATACGTGCAGTTGCTATCCCTATATATATAAACAGATATATTCTTCTATGGTAGTGCGATTATTGTCGTTGCCAATCTTCACGTCTCATCTTCTTGTGTCTTCTTCAATAAAGACTTCAACTCACGTTTATACAAAATTTACACTCACTTAATAGAAATTATGCATCAGCAAGACGTGTTAAACTTTAAAAGTGTCGTTCATTACGATAATGAACTGGTTTGGGATGTAAACGTCGTAAATCAGAACCATTCGATAGAATTGTTAATGCGCATGTTAACTGTTGATGATTAGCTTGATAATGACATTGCTGAATCAACTAAAGCAAATGCGGATGGATTTCGATTATTATTACTATTATTAATGCAAATATTGGATTTATTAGTTAAAAATGATATAGATGAAGGAACAGATGAGGATGTCAATTGTGTCAGTGTATGTGTGGGTGCTAGTGTATGTCTTCTTCCGCCCACACCCACGCCCTTTTCAGTCAGAATCTGAATTCTATCCAGATGAATATAGTCGTCATCGATTCGTTGGTCGCTCAAATTCATCAGAAAACGATAATGAATCAGAAGCTCCTACAACAATTGATCAAGATTTTGATGGTTGCCCTGTTGGGTACTGTGTGAAATCTACGGAAATCAATACCCAAGACCAAGTCTGATCAATTATGTAAAACAAACTGTCGTGTGTTAGAGTCTAGATAAATCGCCATTAAATAGTTTACTCATACTGAATATGAATCAACGAGATTGAAAAATAGATATGTAATTAATTCAAAAGTATTCTCCTGGCCAAATGGTAGCCTTTTCATTTTCGTTTTCAAAAGCTGCTTTAATATTTTTGAATAAATCATCTGCTAATCGAATATTTCGAATCATGATATCATCATTTTGCTCAGAGATCAAACCAGTATCATCCCAGCCCAATGACATTAATGATGTATATTGAGGAAGAGTGTACAGAAGAAAGTTGTTGCGACGATATCGTCTACGAATTTCTGTAGCAGCCATCCTAAGTAACTTTGTTTCCACATCAATATCGACTGCTCGCTATTCAGATATGCATACATCTCCATGTTTACCATCCGACTGACTGATGATTGCATAGCCTCTTTCATTGGGTAACACACAGATGTAAGCTAAGTCTTCTTGCCAATGCCAACCGATCCAATGTTCGAACATTATAGAAGAATCTCGATCGAACTGATAAGAACGAGGATACACAGAATAGAATTCATGCAGTTGATCAAAGGAAGTGATAGAAGATACCGATACCCATGGCGCTTCGTAATTGGAAGAAGAAAGCTTATCAGGTATATTAATGACGTAGTTTATGCGAACTGTAATAGGTTCCCAGCCTAATGACAAATAATGATTGGAACGTCCAGTACCCAATATCGATAGATCGAAATCCTCTTTTTCCATCTTCTCAATTGCTAGTGTAAGAAGTCGTCGTGACAAACCTTGATTCCTGAATTCTGCTAGAGTAGCCATATTGGACACAACACCACAGAGAAATGTTTTATTGTCAGATCTCAAAGTAATCCGTCGAATATGTACAGCGCTGACTAATAGATTATCAGCTGACCAAGCTCCCAAAGTGTCTCCCTCTCGATAATTTGGAGATGCTGTAGGTAAAAAGTATCCTTCGAAATAACCATCACCTTTGGGTCCGAATACTGCTTGCTAGAGTTCAAGGGCCTTCGTTTGTTTGCTTTTGATTACGGGAAGATAAATAATTGGTAACTGAGACTCGTGCATAGCTTTCGATAGGAATATTCTACTGGACCAATTTATACTAACAATAGATTGTTGATATCTATAATAGATGAATAAAAATCATTTATTTTCTAATTACAATGAACTTTTTACTTCACTTGATGTTATCAAAAAAGAATAATTTACTACAAATCATCTCGTTCTCTCTCGTTTACACATATTCTTATTCACAGTAGCCTTAATCATTAAAAATAAAAACTATTTTCATTGCTATTATATTCTAATCAAGTTTTCTATAGTACTATTTGTAAACGATTCGCTTTATACGAAGCTGGCAAATTGCCGACTAATAGTAATGCCAATGTTGAATAATACAATCAACGGTTTGGTTGTCTTCTCAATCTATTTGTCGATGAAAGGCCATGATAGTGATTGACATTCTACTAACAGCTACGAATGAACCAATGGAGTGATGTCATAATATCCTTACACCCGGTAACGACTTATTAGCACAAACACGCTACAGTATCCACATTAGGTGCATCCACTTTTGGGTATCCGAGTTTGGGTATTCACATTTGGGTATCCATATTTATAGATACACATTTATATATATGTATATGTTTTGAAAAGCTGAGGAATTTGAGTTGTTTTGGTGTATCCACTTTTTGGGTATCCACTTGGGTATACCCAAAAGTGGATACACCAAAACAACTCAAATTCCTCAGCTTTTCAAAACATATGCATATACATAAATGTGGATACCCAAAAGTGGATACGCTTAATGTGGTTACATCAGATTGTAGATGCACTAAGAATGGATACTCCATAAACTATTGCTGCATAGGGTATTGTGACGTAAAACTCTCGATACCCAGTGTAAAGGTATTATGACATCTATGAACCAATGACAAAATAACAATATATAGAGAGCGCACATAGACGAACTCAGCAAGATGCCATTGCATCAATGCTTTTCACCACTGCTCATTAATACTGAATGTTGCATAAGTTTCAGACATATAGATTACTCAGACTTGAAACCATATAACCTAACTAAACACCAATATCCTAGTATGTACATGTATACTGTCGAAGACAAAATAATTATTTGACATTCATTTGGTTAAATAATTTCGCACCTTACATAGTAAAATTCATTTATTTTCTGTTTGACTATCTCATAGATATGGAAACACACGCGTTGTACATACTACAGAATATGTATGAGGTGCTGAGTTTGCCCTGATGAATGATGAGGGAGTATAGTGACTTTTTTTCTGGATTTATTTAGTTCAACAAGATTTATTCGTGGCTATGATATTTGAACACATTCACACGCATACACTCTTACAGTAATTAGTTCTTTTTAATTTACTCGAATCAGTTTTTTTGTAGTATTCTTTGATATTTCAATTGTTTTTTATGCCATATTCTTAAGTATATTCATTTTTACTGATTTATGATGACGTGAATTATAATTCAATAATCGATCCATTATTGTCCTGAAGGATCTTTAACTTTCTACGTTTGTTCACACATGTAATTCTTCATGTAGCGATTTACTAGTGTTGGAGATAGAGCGCTTCTCATAGGAAAGCCACGCTTTTGCATATAAAATCCTTTGTTAAATTGATCATAATTATGTTTTTTTAACGAAATCAATAATATTTTTTTACTTTAGTTATAGCTTATTTTGTAGTACCAAATTTTTCGGAATCATCAATTCTGTTAATTGTTTCCTCTACTACTCGTTGCATAGGTATGTTTGTGAAAAGGTTTTATACATCCAGACTAGTGAAATCATCGACATTATCCATATCAATTTCAGGTACATCTTGCATAGCTTTTGATTTCTTAACCATTTCATTATTAATAGTATCTCTTAGTTATTTAATTAATGTAAATGCATATCCTGGTGACGATGAAATAATTTTGTACTTAGTACTGGTAGTTCAACTCATTATATGAGGTTTTTTATGCAGTTTTGGTTTATCTCCTATATTCGGAATATTATCAATTGGTTAAACTCATGTTCCATGCTTATATTAATTCGATCTTGTTTTTTTTATGATGCTAGTTGAATCTTTGTCTTCTTCATATATCGATTCGACAATTTATTCTACTTAAATTATTCATCATAAAAAATTTTCTTCCTTTATCGACTTGAGCTATTCCTATATGATTTAATTTTTTAATTCTTCATTGTATATATTATTGTTCTTATTTTTAGGATTCACGAATTTTTTTGTACAAATATTTGTTTTTTGTTTGTATTTGTCTTGGTTTTTTCATTCATGTGAGATTGTCATTTCGTTATCATTCAGGGTGGAAACCTTTTTTGTTTGTGTCGTTATTCTAATATATACTATTTCTTATGTATAGTGATTGAATCTTGCAAATCTTCATTATTATTCTAAATAGTTGTTGGAGATAAAACTCGTTAAACTTTGACAAGTGAGTTGTAGCCATCAAAAGTTTTGTCAGATGAGATGAATTTATTTATTCTTTCTTGCAAATGTTAAACATACGATAGTGAGATGGCAGACAATGATAGTGATAAAATATAATTAAAACATATAACACTTAATATTAGAAAGAGAAATCTAACCAATTTAGTAATTAGAAATAATCTCTCTATTTGAACTGAAAAGGTTCGACTGTCTTGTTGATCTATCTAGAAGTGATATAAGTATAATTCAACTTTGATCTTTCATTATTTTTAACCTATTTGAAAAAGCTCATGAATAATAATTTCGCGAAAAAGAAATTCAATTCTATGGATAGACGCTTCTTTGAATTTGGCACCAGCTGTAATATTTCACAATCAATTGACTAACTATGATGGTAATTCTTATAACGATAAGTGCATTTTTCGGACTGATTTTGATGATTCTTTTTCTAATTTCAATCTTAAATATAATACTTCTCACAAATATTTAGCGAATCATACTAGGTCAATGACACACCAAAGTGTGAAGAAACAGAAGATTTGAAATATGACTATGAATGAAATATGGTCCCCCAGCAACATTCACATTCGAAGGTATGTTTATAATCTAACGGAAAATCAGCTATAGGAAGGATTGTTTCACATAAATATTATAGAGTGATTAAACCATAATTTTAATGGATGGATCACACCGAAGATCGATTCTTCGCATTTCCCGATTTGAAATATATCTGTTAGGTTTCGTATTTTTTACGACTAGGAATCGGATTCAGAAAGGTATATGTATTACAACAAATCTATCGTAATTATTTTCATTTCTAGACGTAATATGAAATTTCAATAAAAACGAGTTCATCTTGTTAATTCTTTCAGACAATGAAGTAGATCTAAGTCTTTTGGTCTTAATTGTGGAATTCTGTCTACAATTAGACGGTTGAAATTGGCTAATCGTTCATCATTCGCGTTGATATTTGATAAGTAGATTACCAAGACTCGGCGTTGTTCTTCGTCGATGCGAAAAACTTGATGTGTAAAACCACATGAATGGCCAGAATGAATGCGTGCGTGCCCGTTTTCATTAGAAAAGAACCAACCTAGTGAATAGTATTTTGCAGAAGAGCTCAACTCATTTTGAATTGGAAAAACAGTTGACATCATTGTCTGACAATGTCGATACCATTGAAAGTAGTCGTTGATTGACATGTAGATGCCTCCATCTCCTCTGGTTGCACTTGTTGGGCTTTGATCATAAAGACAATAGTGTTTATCGTCTTCTTTTTCTGCATATCCAAAAGCTCGATTCACTATTTGAAGATGATCTAACTGGAAAACGATACTTGTCTTCATACCAAATGGTTCAAAGATGAACTGTTGCAAGAAGTCACCGAGTGCTTGACCAGAAACTACTTCAATGATCAGTCCAAGTAAAATGTAACCAGTATTACTATAACGAAATTGTGAGCCTGGTTGAAAATATGTCTCATCTTTGAGCATGACAAGAACATCAGTATCTAACCATTGACGACCATCTGACAGTGATTCGTTATTCTCATAGTCCATGACTCCTGATGAATGATCTAGTAAATGTTGAATACACACTGTGTTGCTTATCTTCGGACACCTTTGAATAAATTCCAATGAAAAACACGATTTCAGAATGTCTTGCCGATTTAGTTTACCTTGACTTTCTAACAAAATGATCCCATAGGCTATAAACTGTTTGGATAACGAAGCCAGACGAAAACTAGTGTCACATGTAATGGCTTCTAACTTCAACATATTAGCAAAACCAATGTAACGTTGATAAACAATTTGATCATCGATTGCAACCAACACAGCTACTCCTGGCTGAATAGTATCGCCCATCGGACGGTAATCATTTGATAGTAGATCATCCAAGAGAGTAACAAAATTTTCGTCAGACATTGTTCTTGCACTGACAAGTATCCTTTCTTCATGTGTTAATTCTTATCTAGACGACTGTAGGACTCTTTTGTGAGAGACTCATATTTACCAAGCATACTCCACTTACATTTGGAAGATACCATTCTCCTCTAGTTTGAAATTTAGACATGTGTTACAACATTATCATTTGCGACGAGAAGATAAAATGTGGAAGGACAGAATAGGCGAAATAAAATATACTAAACAAAATATAGAAACTGGATAGCCGTTACACATTTTATAAGATGCTAACTAATAATCATTCAATTAATTTGTCTGATTTCAGCAGCAGAGGCTCCTCTGTAAAAGGTAATTCAATTCAAGCCGATTCCGAAGTGATAGATAATTTAATGTTAAAATCGCAAGAAACCTTTGTAAAGCCTATCAAACGATTGATTTTCGAGATGTATCGTTAAAATGATTGCCATGAGTCTAATCATTTGCATCGAACAAATATGAATAGCAATTAATATCGTCTCATATTCAATGAATCAAAATGCTAAATAAAATACATAATTCTTATCGATAATTATACGACCATTACTTTATGATAAGTTTTTTAGACTCTTTTCTCAGCAATTATTTTTCTTGGCTGTACAAAAAGGAAATAATTTTGAATAATCAAGATCGGGCCGTTCTTGTTGTTTACAAATACAAACTCGGCAATAGTCAGACCTCAGTTAAATAGGTATCTGATTTTGTATAAATATTTGATTATTAACGTTCTGGCTAAGGACTAGTGAATTTGGTCATAGTCGTAGTTTGTCTATGTTGTTCAGCTACGTCTACGTTCCAACATCAAAAATGCTTCTACGTAGAATGACTAATGCATCACTTCATATTGCAGAGTCCACTTCGTTGAAGTTAGTCATATAAGAAATCGGAAGTACCTTTAGATCAAGTTATTCTTTTCAGTGGTAGCAGTATATTAATTTTATTGGTCAATTTGAATATTCATGAAGCACATATACGGTATATATAGCTCGTCGATATTCATTATGGTGATTTTTTCTAAGCGACTAAAATGGTGCTCTTACACATCGTGTTCTTATCAATCGTGCTCACTCAACTTAAACAGTTGACTGCATCATCAATCAACGCGACATGAACCCCTATTAGTAGGAACGGTCAGGTCGCTCGGCTTTTTGGACATTCAAAAGTTCACAAGAATCATTCCTCGTTACAATTTCGGTTTAATTCCGCATCACATATCAATGGTTGGTGGTGTGTTAGAATGTTAGAACCAGGTACAATCTCATGGGATGACAATTACTTATGGACAAACAGTGATATAGGATTGGTTTTTAGTTGTAATAATGGATACCAATGTAATCCGAACTTCAAATGCACATCAACACTAGAACCCGCTGTTGAGTGGTGGTATGACAATGCCTTATGCTTGCCTATTGGATCGAATGTAGAACTTGCATGGTCGTATTGTGGTAGCTGGGGTGCTGACTGGAAGTGTGAACTAGTATACGATCCAGCATCAAGCAGTGCTTTCAACGACGACTATATATGCTGGAAAGAACACTGAGAGACAGTATATCAATTCATTAGTAGTTGTCACAGTTACACGTTTTATAAGACCTAACTCATTATATAGTTTATTTGTCCAGCTTTGATTTTTTAAAGTTACTAATACATTGAATCATACTAGCCTAAACTATGCTTGAAGTTTTCGGTCAATTGTTGTTTGATACACGTATCAGCGAAGTTACTATGGCTTATGTAGTTATACTCGTAGAGATGTGTGGATACATATGAGTAGTGAATACCTGCAATTATGGTGAATAGTCACACTTACAACTACATGTTCGCATTCACTTACATCTATCACTAAATCTATAATCCGCGTCCTTTTTCCTTTCAAATCTAAAACAACTAGAAATACTGCATATAAAGAATTTTTTCTTTGCGATCAATAACATCATGATAGATCATTGATCGAACGCGTTCTTCATTATAATAATAAATATATTACAATGATTATTCAGTAGAGAAAAATTATCAGAAACGTGTTGCCTTTTGATCTCTGCTGATCACTACGCAAAAAAATATACGATTCAGGACAAAATGATCTAGCTGTTGTATTATAGATTCTAATATCGATTGTTCTGAGAGCATACAATCATATACGTATCTGCAATCTGTCGTGAGCGAATACTGTTCTCTTTGTATTTTCTCTCTTTCTCGTCAGGTTAATTATTCCAGTTTCATGATAATATCTTTTTCTCGTTGACATACGTGTATGTGCATATGTATATTGTTCTCTTTCCATGAATTTGTTTTTTTGTTGTTTGTTTTCCTTACTTTGTGACAGTGTCATAGTATGCTTTTTTCCCTCTGTATAGTGAATAACATATTCCGAATGTTCCAAAGGTGACGTAGTAGACTCATCGACATTCATAGTTTGGCTACAGCAACATAGATATGATTATCACTATTTTTTCTTTCTTGTGCTCGTTGAAAATAAGTATATTTTATAATAATCTTATTCTCGTCTCTAATATATAGATATTAGTTGGACGAGAAAAGTAAGTGTTCAACATAGTTAAGTGCTATTTTTATCTAATTATAAACTATTGCTAATGTATCTTGAGACAAACAAAAATAAGACATGTAATGAGTTCATAAAAACAATTCTTCTTATTTAACTAATGTACATTTAGCTTTCATTCATAGACATATAAATATTATTTTATAACTTCGACCACGTGTCAGAGTAAAAATATCAGTGTATTACATAGTTGCTGATGACTAAATTAATGCTGTTCGATGAAAAATATAAACTTAACAGGCTCATTTCTAAGAATCATATGAATGACTCGTTGAAAATTTTCTTTTTTGTATTCTCATTATAAATTTGACTATAATTTTTTTGGAAGCATGCAGATAAGAAAATGATTCCTAACATTATTATTTCACTTGGTTTTTGTAGATTGAAAAACTGAAATCGCAATCATGATGAATCCAGTCTTTACCAACGCAGCTGGTATGGACAAAAATGTACTTCAACGGTATTTAGCATTGCCACAACCCGATGGTAAATCAATGGTAACCTACGTATGGATTGATGGAACAGGCGAGAATCTTCGAGGTTCAAAATTTGATATTTTTTAAGCTGCTATATCATGTCATATGTTTTCTTTCTTTATTACAGCTAAAACCCGTACATGTGATAAAGAGCCGAAATCACCGGATGATGTATCGTGGTGGAACTTTGATGGCTCATCAACTGGTCAAGCTGAGGGATCAAATTCAGAAGTTTATCTAAAGCCAATTGCCTTGTTCAATGATCCATTTACACTAGGGCAAAATAAAGTCGTTCTTTGCGAAACATACAACTTTGATATGAAACCAACTGGTAATAAATTATTAGCTTGAATATATTATTTACTACATTATAGGATTTGTACATTATTTTAGTAACGAATCATCGAGCAAAATGTATTGAGGCAATGTTAGCTGCAAAAGATCAACATCCAATATTTGGCCTTGAACAAGAATATACACTAATGGATCGAGATGGATGGCCATTTGGATGGCCTAAAGGAGGGTATCCTCAACCACAAGGTATATTGATGTATGAACTATATTTAAATAAATAGCTCTATATTGTAGGTCCTTTCTATTGTGGTATTGGTGCATGTTTAGCATTAGGTCGTGATTTAGTCGAATCACATTATAAGGCATGTCTATATGCTGGAGTCAATATTCGAGGAACCAATGCTGAAGTTATGCCAGCGCAATGGGAATATCAAGTTGGCCCATCCGAAGGTATTGACGCTGCCGATCAACTCTGGATGTCACGATATTTATTACAACGCATAGCTGAAGAATTTGGTACTCAAGTTAGTTTTCATCCAAAACCCATTGCTGGAGATTGGAATGGTGCTGGATGTCATACAAATTTCTCCACACTTGTTATGCGCGAACCAAACGGCATCAAGTGAATTATTTGTATTGAAAACCTGATTTTATTTATTCACATTTTTTCCGACTAGCGCAATTCATACAGCTATAGAACGACTTAAAGCACGCCATCACACTCATATCAGTCTATGGTAAAGATAACGAACGTCGATTGACAGGTCGACATGAAACAGCTAGTGTATGCTAATATATTTTTATGATTGGCTTCATGTATTATTGTTTTCTTCACCGTAGATTCACGAATTCAGTGCTGGTGTTGCAAATCGAGGTGCTTCTATTCGAATTCCTCGACAAGTTGATGAAGAAAAATGTGGCTATTTTGAAGATCGTCGACCAGCATCGAATTGTGATCCATATGCTGTAACTAGCATAATTGTGCGTACGGTATGTCTTGGTGAACAAGATTGAATACATAATGACAGGAACTAGAAATTACATAAGTCTATGTGTGTGTATCTTTCATTTTCATAGAATTTAAGGAAGTAGATTTGTGTACCGATTCCATTATAAATAGAAGTCAGAGTGTTTTTCCAACATGATCCACTTTCTTCTCGAAAAGTTTTCTGTTCATATGTGAACTATTAGAAGCAATATCAAACAAAAGTTTCAATCGAATGATTTCTGCAGTATATCAAATCAGAGAAGATTGGATTATTTTTATTTTTTAAAAGCATTTGACAAACATAGACCACAGAGCAATACATATTAGACATAAAGTTTTAAGAATCAACAATTGAAACTGTACGAAAGTTTGGATCTGCCATGCCAACTAAATAGCCTCCTTTGTCAAGAAAATAGCGAAGAAAATCAAGATGATGTTGTTCCATGATTTCGCCGGGAACAAGAAGTGGTACTCCAGGTGGATACGGTATAATGCTTTCTACAAGCACGTGTCCGACACCCTCGTCCAGAGAAACACGTCGAGTTTTGGTTGTAAAATAGGCATCACGTACATTGATAACCGAACGAGGTAGACCGTTCGGTAGCTTAATGAGCATGAAATCTGTATGATGAGTTTGTCGATGATGTTTGGATAAATGGTTTAAAGCATCGATAAGTAGATCAGTTGTAGATTCTGTATCAGCAATAGTAAGTGAACAGATAATTTGTCTGAGATCGGCAAATTCAACTTCGACTTTGTATTCATTCCGAAGTATTTCACTTGCTTTGAATCCACTAAGACCAATATCATTTACTCGTATGATTAATTTACTGGGATCGATGGCGAAAATACCAGTGACACCGATTAACTCATCACCATAACACCATAAACCATCCGTTTTACGAATAGCATCACGAGCTTTCTGTGCCAATGCAAGTGTAATTGTTAAGCGTGCACATCCTTCAGTAGCCATTTGCATTCGTGCTTCATCGAGTGAAGCTAACAAGATGGAGCTTGGTGATGAACTTTGAAGAAGTGATAACATTTGTGCAACACGTGTTCGATTGACTAAGCCATTCTTATTTAGATGTAACATGGCAGATTGAGTAAGAGAACCTTGTGTTTTATGTGTACTATGGACGATAATATCAGCTTGTAGAGAAACTGCTGATTTTGGCCAATCAGGATGCAAACCGAGATGTGAACCATGAGCTTCATCTACTAGAAGTGCTACTTTATGTGAATGAGCCAACTTGCATATTGCTCCTATATCAGACAAAACTCCATAATAGTTGGGTGATGTTAAATGAATAGCAACAACATCCGGATGTTTTTCTAGAAGTACTTCTACTGCTTGTACACTGACAGCTAGAGGAAAACCAATATCTGGATGATAGTCAGGTTCAATATATACAGGTATAGCACCGGAGAGAACTATTGCTCCATAGACTGACCGATGCGATGCTCGGGGCATAATGATCTTTTGACCAGGACCGACTACACTCATAATAGCAGCCATGTTGCCAACGGTGGAGCCATTGATGAGAAAAAATGTTTCATCAGCTCCGTATGCAGCTGCAGCTAGTTTTTGAGCTTTGAGTAATGCACCTTTAGGTGAATGTAAATAGTCGATATTTTGATTGATTTCAACCAGATCAGCTGCATTTAAATTGCAACCGAAATAGTCCAAGAGCATAGGGTGATGTTCTTTTGTTCCCTTATGACCAGGCATATGAAATGATATAGGCCTGAAGTTTTTTTCTCTCAGTAAACTTTCAAGAAATGGCATTTGTGTTTGATCGACTGAATCAATACCATTGCTCATCGTGGATGTACTTTGATCAGATTTCAATGTCATTTCTAAAATAAAAGCAGTTCTATCTTTAAATGGACATCAAATAGCACGCGTTTGAACTTTGAAATGATTCTTTATCACTTCTCTTTTATCTCCATTGGTAAGTGCATTCTTTCATTGTATTAGGCTTTTTTTTCTTTTTTTCTTTCTTTTTGCCGTCGTCGTCGTCGTCGTCGTCGTGTGCATATAGTTATTCTTCTAAATCCTCAGCATGTCCAATATCATACAGACGATTGCATTACAAAGTTTGTTCTTTCTATTCTATGAGACAATAATACGAATAGTACTGCATAAAACTTTGACTCGAGTTCGTTTCATTGTAACGATAAAAAGAACAAAGAGCAATAGATACTGTGTAATGAGTATTGTTGACTTTATGTTGTATCTCAAGGAATGATTCGAGTACTTTTTTTCTACCTTTATTTTATATTCTATCTAATTACTAGTAGTAACAGTAAAAGGATGGTGTGCACCGTCATGTTAAAAGATTATATATAATCAAAAGAGATTTTTTTCTCTCGTGATATTATCATAATTTTTCTTTCAAATCAGAAAAGATCTATTTTCAACAGAGAACATCACCTTTAAAACCAAATAAAAAAGCATTCGTGCAACAAATTGACGAAAAAACTACCACTCGATTTTCTATTTTTCATGTTTATTTGTCTAACTAAATTACAGCCAGTACGAGGGCGTCGCAAAATTCAAATTATAACCAGTTTTCAGTTATTTACCTCCGGATGCTGATTTAAAAATACCAGCAAATGTAAGATACCAGATATTTACTTGCTTCTAGTTTTAAAATTTTCAAAAGTCATCCAATAATCATTATCTACCTCTAGTTATAAATCACAAACAGATATTAGATATCAGATATTTGTTTCCTAGATTTTTAAATGGTAGTAGATTACAGATATCAGGTAGTTGTTCCTCACAATGCTTTGAAAATTTTTTTGTAGATACTTGATGTTCGTTTTCTAATTCTAGCTTGAAATCTATAAGATTCCCAATATCAGATGTCTCCACTGTAAAAAAAAGGGGCAGAATAATGAACGCTTGCCCTTGACTTTTTTTCTATAAAGTCTTGAAGGGTTTATGAGCATGTCATATACTCTATGAAGGGTATATGAATTTAAGAAGGGTGTATGAAACTGTTTTAAGGGTTTTGTATTTCATAATTTTATTCAAAGTGTTTATTATCCAACAATCCGGGTAGATTATTATACGATTCATGCAAATCAAATCTTATTCTATGATCAATGGTTAATTATTCTGCATTTTTAGTAGAAGCATTTATCATAATACCTGTGAGGGTAGATTATTATATGATATCATAAAAGGATTCATTATTGTATGATGAAGGGTATATTGGTGTACACTAGAGCAATCAATTGTTTGATAAGTCTCCTCTGTAATTGAGAAGAACACACCGACTTTTAAAATATTTATTGAGATTTTGCTAATTCTTCAAGAATTATGAGCCAAAGAATATTTATCGCATCAATAGTGCATTATAGGAAGAAAACTATACGATCATTATTTCTAATTTTAGTATTTTATGTTTTCATCGCAATATTTATTTTACAAGCATTGTAGCAGTACAATTCACATTTTTTACATAGGGGTTCGCTATTTTGGAACATAGAAAAAGTTCAAAATCTGTATCACCGTAAGTATTTATTATTCGATGTGACAAGTTGGATTTATCTACTGACCTCGTTATTGTGGTTATGAGTCGATAGATACTTGCGCGTGAGAGGATATGAAAACTAAAATAGTTGATGTTGGCATGACAAAATACATCGTGCTACAATCAATCTAGGAGCGTTTAGTGCTCTACAGTCAAGCATAGATTATTTTATCTTTAATTTTGATACATTTATTATTCTACGTTCAACCCTCAAATTTCAGAAATTGTCAATAGAAACGTTAAAATGATACCGTTTGATTGAAAATATGCAGCCATACCTGTTAAGATAGACTAGTACGCAAGGCCAAGTTCTAATTTCAAAAAGCCTTGTTTTGGGGCATAGTATTCGATTATTTCATAGGATTTGTGTAAAGTGAGTGACAAGATTATTTTGATTCAAAGTCGCAGGAAAATTTAGCTGTTCAGCAATTCTACAACTTTTTTAGGATCAAAAATCGATGTGACGATGAAAATTCATAAAATATAGCTAATTAATTCTTTGCAATCTTTGAAGTAAACAATCGAATCGTTGGCCATGTATCAGTCAATACCAAGTTCAATTCTTAAAGAGCGATTCCAATGGCTAGTATCATACTCTCTGATAATTCGCAATAAGAATTGTAAATCTTATATGAGTCATTATCTCTTCCCTAGTGAAACATCTTGTAAGTAAGATCTTGGGTAAAGATAAGTGAACAGATCTTGAAAATTTAGCTACAATATAATACGATTATCTTGTACGAGGGTCTTATTACATGCCCCGAATAACCCAAGCAAGTCAGATGTTGGGATCTGACCGACTTTAAGTTGGTCCAATATCCGTCAGACCAATTTAGGGTAGTCCTCTCTCGATGATCGATCGAGATCAGCATTCTCTCGAATAATCAATAATCGAGAAATAGTTTAGAAAAAAACTTATTTTGAAAAGTTATGTTTTGCTTGTTCAATCATGCTGCTTATATTCAGTTCTGTATGCATAAAAAAAACGGTGAATGACTAGATAGTCTATGTAAATACACTAATGACTTCGCTTTCTGTTTTACTCAAGATCTTGTGAGAAGATAATAGTAAACGATATATTTTCCATGATCTTACCCAGATCTAAGGTACAGAATTATCTGATACAATCAAAATATGTACTTATAAATTTTCTTTTTAAGATCTTGATAAAATCTTACTTACCGATCCCAAGATTTCTATATCTTGCTTACAAGATGTTTCACTAGGGCAATATCAGATCTGCCCGGTCAGTTGAACATGCTTTGTCTTAGCTCATACAATAGTATTGCTTTCATTTACAGGATGACATAATGCAAATAATAGAATCAAATGAAAGTGATAGTACTCAGAAATCACTTGAAGAATATTGGATATTGTTGAAAAACAGAATCAATCAGCATGAAAACCAATTAATGATACAGTTATCATCTTGTCCGACTACATTACATTCTCTGGAGATGACAGATCAGAGATTGAAAGACTGTGTTCGTTTACATCATATTGATGTAGTGAGAACAGTCAACTATCAAAAACATAAATTAAAAGACATTATCTATGAAAAACGACTGTTTAATTAATTATCTTCTTACCACTTAGCTGAAGTACAGGTAAGAATAACAATCGGATCCTTCCTATTATTGTTGTATGCTGTCTAGTATCAAGCAATCGATCAGATCATCACTATGCGAAAGAAACAATTAAAGATTTTCGAAGACTTGACTATATTCGAACAACGAATCTTATGTCATACATTGTCGAAAACATTCGATGATATTCCAATAGTTGTATATCAAAATTTATTTGAAAATGATGCTAATAAACTTATGCATGAATTGAAACGTCAAAAACTTAATGATCAGCTGAAAAATTATGAATTGGAATTTCAACATTATGAAGATTTGTATCAAACAAAAATCAATATATATTTGAATTCGATGTTTATCCACAAGTGCCCACAAGTCATTGTCGATGTTCCTCAAGTATCATTGAATCGAAATCAATTAGATTATCTTTCCCAAAGTGGTAAATAGACATCTATCTTTTATAGTATTATGTCAATCGTTAATTTATTCTTATATATTCATATTCTGATACGTTTTCTATTTCAAGGACCTAATTATATCAGATCAAATCAAAGCTTTCTTCACTCTTATAAGCATCAAGAGAAACATGCGTGAAGCAACAACATAAGAACATTATGAATGTGATAACTCGTTATCTTATCCGTGAGCATCATATTCCACACACAGCAACAGTTCTCAGAGAATTTTTCCAACAATTTGAAACATGTCTGCGTCAGCAATATATGACTCAAGTGTCTTATCTAAACATATATCGAGCACGAAAAGAATTAAAACAAATGAAATCGATTCAATATAGACTAAAGGAAGGAAACTATATTCTTCGCGAGGCCGATAAAAGTGGAATTTTTCATATTGGTAACTCAGCTGCTTATGAAAAGAAAGCAGAAGCTTATCGATAAAAACTGATGCTTACATTGAATTATATTCTATCGTGACAACTAGATAAAATGATGCCGAAGAGAGATAAAGTTCAGTTAGCTTATTTATATTTCATTCCTAAACCTCACAAGGTAATTCATTTCTAATCTTTGATTCTTATCTCTCTTCAACACAATTTATTAGGGAGGAACGCCATTGAGGTCTATTGTATCATCAATGAATATGCCAACGACAGGAATTTCAAAGTTTTTGGATAAAATAATCCGATCAATATTTCATAAAGCGGCGCGCTCAATCACAATTACTGATGGAGTTGATTTGATTCAACGTTTAGAAGCATATACAACAAACGAGTGTCTAAAATCAAAAACGTATTTATACACGATATTAGCACAAGAAGAATCACTTGATATTCTAATTGAATTTCTCGTTCAACATGGCTACCAAAAAATTCAAAATATTCCAATCGATATTATTCGAAAGTTAGCTCTTATCGTCATTAAAGAAAACGTTTTTGTTTATGAGAACAAATTCTATCGACAAGTCATTGGTGGTGCGATGGGCTCAGCATTTACTTTAACACTAACTAATATTTTCATGTGGAACTGGCAGAAATGACTTTTTCACCAACTGGAAGTATTCAATGAAATCTACAGTCGGTATTTAACATGGTTCATAAAAGAATATACTTTGATTATTATGTCTCATTTTAGATACGTTGATGATATTTTCTTTATGTCAAATGATTCATTCGAATCTATCGACCAAATGCTAGATGAAGCTAATAAGTTTCATCCAAACATTAAACTAGTACGACAAATCGGTAGAAGTGTTCCATTTCTTGATGTATTCATTGAGAACAGTAACGGAGCTTTAAAAACTTCTGTGTTTCATTAAGAAGCAGCTGAGCCATATGTCGCACCATTTGGATCAGATCATCCTGGTCATGTTTTCCGAAACACTGTTGATACTGCTATTACGAGAGCAGTTCGTTATTCAGCAACTTTATCTCAATTCGAAGAAGAAATACGACAAATGAATTTCATTTTTCTCTATAATGTGTAAGCGTCCGGTATTCATTCACGTTTCTCATTCGCTGTATCTGACGCATAGGTACACATCAAGACATATCGATTGGCGACTCAGTACATTATTCAGTAAATATTTACTAGAAAATTTCATTTTGCCTGCGCTCAATACATCTGATGACTTTGGTTATTTACACCACCAGCTATTGACAACATCAACAGCTACAGCATACAATAAAGTAACCAGAACTTCAACTGCCAATCAAACTCATGACAAAAACAATGGAAATCAGCTTCTACGACCTACAGACAATAACGAATTAACAAAAGGAAAAAGTCTCATAATTCATCATAGACACGAAAAACGACTCCGGAACACTCACCGACAGATTCTGGAACTATGGAACAGTGTTTTTCATGGAACAGAAGTTATCAATGCTGCTCTTATGCTCGGAACTTATCTGATTCAAAATTTGAAACAAGAATTATGCGCTAGAATGATCAAACATATTCCAAGTGCTGGAAGCAATCAAGAGGACAAGACGCAACGTCAGCCTGATAAACAAGCAGCCAATATTCAATCGAATCAAACAAGTCAATAACTAACTATATTTCACACTCTGTGTTGTAATTACTAAATAAAAAATAAACATCTCTCTTTTGAAAGAAAATCTGAAAAGTAATATTAGATTGCAAAAAATCAACGTTGCAAATAAGACATCCGCTATAATCGCCGAATTATTTGCATCCGTAGCAACACAGTCAGAAACGTATACATGAACCAATACCTAAAACGATTAGCATCAAAATCTTCCCTTCAGTCACATTTCCAAATGGCCCATTCAAGCAAGTCGATATAGAAAGTAAAAGCACGAGATACTTGTTAATAAACGACAAAATTGAGAGAACCAAACTCAAAACAGGCCTCAGGAGAGAAGCCAACACTAATAGCATCTATGGGAAGACCCTTCATTCACACACCTTGAATATTTAAACCATTTCAAAACCCAAATAAATATCAACAGCTAATTACGCAACTCCCTTGATCACTTCAAAATCATGAAATACTACCCCTAGCAATATAAATTGAGAATTTTGCTCATGTTCTTCAAATCATTCGAACAGCTACAAAGAAGACGCCATCCGAAAAGTTCTTTAGCAGGGACGAAACCGGTCATGGTTGCTATTTAAAACACACCCACACCCAACAGAAGGAATGATTATCATCGAATTCAAAGTTCAAATTACTTCTGTGTTTTACACAGATTCCGTTTGACACGACTTTATTGGCAAGTCTTTATATTTAGGTAGAACACCCAAAGCTTCAGATTTCGTGTTATTTCCAGCATTGTAAGTGACAACGCGTGAAGCATTATTATAGAATTTTTGCCAGCGGATAGCTAATGCTGGCGTCCATTCAATGTTCTTTATCCAATCGATTAGTTCGGTGTAATTAAAATTGGTTCTAAACAACCAAGAGGCAAATTTTCACTCAATCAGAATTCAAACTTACGATACTCGATTGCTTACGGCTTGCCATGCATCTGGATGATTGCTTGTAAAACATTCAGATAAATCGTTTATACGAGGATAATACGTGAATATGTGAGAGCACATTTCATCTTTTGTTCGTTCACCACCCTAACAAATATCAATCTATTCCTTAGATTGATACGTATGAAGCAAATTTACCAGTGTAACCTCGTTCTTGTTCATGGTGTTGTACATACATCGTGTAGCAAATTCGTCTCCCTAAGAAAAAAGCACATACTATAGTGAAAAATAAATCAGATGACCTAAATTGTTACCGGATATAGTTTAATTGGTTCTGACAGTCGATTGACAAATTGATAGTTGAAATCGTATCTTTCCGCATTGAAAAGGTACTGTACTGCAGTATTATTTCGAACCAATTTCGTCCAAAGAGAGTGACCTGTGTGTATACTTAGTTGGAAGTCTAATTGGATTCACGTTCAACCTACCTTGAAGGTGCGTTGGGGGAATGCGGCAATCACAGTAATACCAGATTCCGGAGAAGTCTAAACGAAAATTCTCTCTTGAATTTTGCAGCGGCGAATTCTCCAGAAAATATTCTACTATCAAAAATGATCCTTGTGACTACACAGATTTATCAACTCTCAAGTAAAATCTCATCAAAATGAAGGTTTAAGCGAGCTTTCTTCAAAGTCAAATTGTCAGTGAAACATTTTAGCATAATTTCGGATCGAAAAAGTATAATACTTCGGTGAATTCTTTTAGGCAATATGAATCGACGGTAAATTGAGCGACTTTCGGTGGAATGGTGAGAGCAAGTGCATTGATACTAGTTCCGAATGTCAGATAGCCAAGGTCATACTGACGAAGTTCTTTTCCAAGGTAAAATCGAATACCCGTATTGTCACGGCGATCTTAAAACGGAAAAAAGTTTTTCCACATTAGACGATCAATAGTCTTTTTGTGATAAATAAACTTTCATACTTGGTGTTAGCTTTGGATTATCATATAGTGTATCTCAATCACGTAATATTTGATGTGAAAATCACCACCAACAGGATAGCCAGCTTCTTCTGGAAATTCGACAATCTATGTAGTTAGGCCTAATTATTCATGAGTTTTGAAGTAGACCACAGTTTACCTTGTCACCACCTACTGCCCAAATAACACCGGTATTAGCTAAACAACGAGAAAGTTCCTTATAATGATCATCACATACGCCTTCGGCAAGATTATTATCATCGAATTCAACTGTTCGATCGCATTCATATAACACAAGATGATGAACCATATCGACATTATCTGAATCAATCATTGTTTTGTGCTATGAATAAGAATAAAATTTCAAACGACTGAGATAAGGATTGAATAATTACAGCAATGGCATGACGTTTTCTTGAATATCCAGTTGGAGCTTTGTATAATTTACAATAATAGGTCGTGTCATCGGATGGAACAATGCTCTGAAAAAAGAACAGAGATAGATGAACATATTATACAATAGAGTTGCGATCGATTCACATTATTCAAACGAAATTCGAAATAATCCAGATCGGCAAATTTATTTTCGGTTGGTGGATTTGCATACGATTGAAGTGGAATCATGCGCGAGCCTCGTCGATTTTGATGGTAACTGATATCACCAACTGATGGGTCAGTAAGACCATACGCATAGATGATGACGTTCGTTCCTGACTATAGTCAAGATATTCAATATGGAATAGAGCAAAACAGTTCTACGCTACTTTAATTTCAACATCCATGGGATCACATGTGTCAAGGAGACGTTTGAATTGAATGGCAGTCCATCCGTTTGATTCACGGCCACGGAGAGCAAGCCAATTCTCAGTTGTATTATCCATAGCAGGCTTGAAGAAATCGGATGCATATCGATCCTACAGTCTAAATGTATTTATTTGAAATAATTAAAAATTTTTATCGTACTTGAAAATAAACTTTTCCCGCACTGTCAACCCATCCGACACCAATATCAGCACCTGTCATCCCACCAGCTATAGAAACAGTATTCGTTGTGCAAATAGGATACACGGATGTATGGATGATTTACCTGGACTAATGCCTAAAGCTATCCATCCTGTTGTTTTCATGTGCAACTCGAAAGTGATATCTTTCGCACCATTATCTACTGTCCACCAGAGATCGGCCGTACCTTTCTCGAGTTCAGTTGAATACCTATAGGCAGTGAACGGTGTAATTGGACTGGAAATACTAACAACATCTCCGATGACTACTAATAGCAATACAATCAATAGCATTCTTCATGAAAATTTATCAGCACAGTACGAACTATGTGTGTATGTCAATACTTAAGATACTATAATATAGGCTAGTTGCATATGCAGTCGAGGAGCGATGAAAGCATGAATATGATTGATTTAATATTTAAACTAGATTATTGTCATCGTCGTGCGTTTGCTTTTTCAATGGCAGATATTGACATTTGCCTTGAATTATGAGATAAAGCACGCAGATTTACTCGATCTTTACCATTCTTTTCGATGATGCGAGTATCATAGAATAGTAGCTCCAGTGAATGTGCTCAACAAAGTGAAATCCCGCTTTTTCAACAATCGAAACATTTGAGAAAGATTTTGTTTACGCGTTTCAAAAATCCAATTTTCGCCTTTATTCTTTTTGTTTCATTCCTAAAAATGTTTTTATCTTGATATTCGCTAAAAGCTAGTTTGTAAAGAAAATTAGGCTAATGATATTCTTTTCGAATGTTTTAAGAAAATACATTAAACTCTCTATCGAATGTATCGTAAACTTATTCGAAATAACTGTGAGTGACCTCTACAAATCCTACTAATAAACACAGGCTTCAATCGACTGAAAATCATTTTGATTGCGCGGGTCAAAGATGGGTGAGTTAGTGATTTTTTGGCTCAATTCACGATAAGACACTAATGATGCGTCCGTACCGAACTAAATGTGGGTTGAGATTGTAGACGAATATATTTTTCACTCTGAGGTAGCAGCCTGAGTTCAACTATCGATAAAGCAGAATGATTGCTGAAGCTACTTGTGAGTTTTCATCTAGAGAACAGCTAGATTAGCTTTTTTTCATTGCCTACTCGACGTTAATCCTTGTACACACACACACAACGAAATTATGTGAAAAGTGTTAGGAAAAGATATGAAATATGAAATATAATCGCTACACAATGACGTAAAAAAATCTTTAAAATGATAATTGAAAGAAAAATATGTGTTAAAGATAGCGCAACAGAGACATGCTCTTCAGAGCTAGGTGACGTCTTTTCACAGCCATTCAAATCAATGAGCTTTAGCTTCCGATGGCCTGTAAAGAAATCCAATTATATGTAGAATGTGGCTACCAATCGAAAGAAGTTCCACATCCACTTCCTCACCCTCAAACCTACACTGCACCCACACTCCACGCTCCTAGGGAACCAAACCTAGGAGATATAGGAGATATTTTTCTCTTTCATCTCTTAATTTTATTTAATTATAACTCAACTAAAATAAAATTTTATTTCGTAGATATTACTGATATCAATATTTATTTTCTGAGCCTTGCTCGTTGTTTATCAATCTCCTATATCTCCTAGGTTCGATTCCCTAGCACCTAATCGAGTTTCCGGGGATATTATCTGAAAGGATCTAATCTTTGCCGAACATTTTCCGTTATTTATCAGATGATTTGAATGTATTTGCTGCACAGTATACTGATCACAATTTTTGACATGATATCAAACAATTTATTTCATTCATTAACAACAACGGTATCAGTTTGATCAACTAAATATTGTCGATATTGACCCACATGTCGATAACGCAATAATTATTGACATCCAAGACATGTTAGAATGCCAGGTGTAGGCTTTTTGTCTGTTAGGATTTGACATGATGTAGAGATTTTTGTTTGAAGAAGTTGCGGCAGCAGCCATTTTTATTCTTCTACGTAAGTCTTATTTTCATCTTCACTCATTTATTTCTCAATAGTGCGCAAGTCAATTGAAGATACCTTGTGAATATCCACATGTAGTTTTAAGTTGAGGAAGCGAAAAACTACCATTTTGATGTCGGTAGTAATTCTCGAAATCAAAACTAAATAAAACAAAAACATGTTTTTTTGTTCTTGCTATCGTTTATATGAAAGAGATGTTTCAAATTTATTGTGAGATGTGTTATACTTGAAGGCTAAAGTTCAAAGATTTTTCTTTTTCACTATTTTATATAGCATTAACAATTCTTCAATATGAATACTTTTCAACAGTAACAGAATTTCTTTTTTGTCTTTAGAAATATAAGCTGACGGATCGACTATGTAGCGAATTAAAATGTTTCTCTTCGGCTGCAAAAAATTGATCCTTTTTTACGCATACGACAGCAGTGACTTGACGACTTTCTAAGAAACAAAAAAAAATAAAAATATTAATTTACTCTAATTTTCTTTCTTTGTTTTGTTCAAAAATTAGAAGTTTGTTTTCTGTTTTACTTATTGTTTAATTACAATAAAAAAAAGAGACGTTTCATTTACTTGACAGAAGTAACAGAATGAAAAACAACATTTTCTCTTTCTTTCTTTTTCAGTCAACTATGTTTACTATTATTTTTCACTTCTCTGTAAAAAATATGATAGTAAAAAGGAGACTATAGTTGAATTCACTTTTTTTTAGTTTGCTATAACTGCGATCCGAAGATTCTAACAGTGCCAGACATGAGAAAAAGAAAAAGAAAAAGAAAAACAGAAACAAAAACGAGAAAATAAAAAAAATGAAAATATGACGTATGACTGACTGTAGAGTACACAGAAGAGGAAAAAAAGCGAAAGAAAAATACAAATACAAATACAAATACGTAATAGGTCATATCGAACATATAAAAGAAAAAGCAAACAAAAAACGGACAAAGAAGCTTAGAAAATAGCTTTAACAGAAAGAATCAGCAAAAAGAAGAAGTAGACCTATTTCAGACATACATATCATAATCGGGTATAGAAGAGTTGGAAGGAACTGACGAGAGTCAAGTTAAGACTTTTTCTAAGATTGATATATGAGGGACAAACCTTTTAGACCTTCTTAAACCCTTGATAGAAAATTCATTATCTGACCAGCTTTTCCTAACGTCGGCAAGATTGGCTTTTTCAAAAATTAGATTCCCATCAGTTGAATTAGATAGAGCTCTAAGGTACCGATGCCAATATGTGGAGCAGCGATCTTCTAAAGATATTTCATCAAGAACGCAGGAAATCAACGTATCATTCCACTCTACGCAGCGTAGAGCATAACGGAGCGAGTAGTAATAAAAGTTAGAGAAGTTCTCCTGTTGATTTCTAGTAAAAAGCGGATAAACAGGACATACCCAAGTAAAAAGTGGAAGTACATGTGAATAAAATAGAGCTTTATGAAGGCTAGGGGAAGAACATACGAACAATTAAAATGATTTCATAAGTGATATTCTCTTCCTAACTTTACATTGAACATCTCTTAATAACTTCCCGCAACCAAGTCTAGATGAAATGATATAGCCAAGATATTTTTATTACGGCTTCCAACAAATACGATTGTCATCACCACTATCAAACGCAATATTAAACTCCGGAGACCCTATAGCACGCGCACTAAATATTGCTGCAGTTTTAGTCCTGTTTAAGGATTGAGTTCACTTTTTTTTGTTTATTCTACTTCTGTCGGTAGTTGTTGAAGACGTTCGAGAGACAAAGGAATGAAAAAGAAAAAGATTTCCTTTCCTTCTTCTTTTTTAGTTGCTTATTCCAAACATTACTCGTCGCTTTTCTTAAAAAAAACTTCATAGGTGAGAACTTTTTCTTTCAATAATTCCTATATATACCCAAGTAAGCAAAAAATGAAGGAAGACTACACTCATGACTAGTCAGAAATGTCCACAGCACCCGTCAAGCCTAGTTCATTTGGTCTGTTAAGCCAGTCCGGACTAGTAGGAAGATTAAAAAAAGAGGTTTTAAGGTAGATTTGAACATCAAACCCGACAGTGTTCGCAATATGACGGGCGTCCTGACGGCAGTCTAGGACACTGTGATAGGCTGTCATCAGTATATAGAGTCTAAAGCATTGATTGACTCCTATTTATGAATAGAAGATCAAAAATAAGCTGACGTAAACGGTATTGACTAGTCTGAAGCATCGTCTGGACATTACATGACTAGTCCTTTTTTAAGGAGTGTGTATCCCATTCAATGCTTATCCACTGTTTTTCAGAGTTAGAAGGGCAATACAAGAGTTTGCCATAATCAACAGTATAGTAAAAGTACACAATATATTCCGGGTATTTCTGTTTTCATATATTTTATTCTATTTTGTATTTGAATTTGCTAAAATTTTAAGATTATATCGAAACAAAATTGTAGAAGCAGCTACTAAGAAAAATATTTACATCACATCGTAGTGTTCATTTATATATTTTTTTTCAAATTGTGAGACGTAATAAATTTAAAAAAAATTGAGAAGCATCCGAATCTTTTGAAATTATAATATTATATTAGTTTATTTTAAGTATAATTCTATTAGTTCTCAATTAAGTGAAGATAATTTTATTTTTAGATGAATTTACGACAATTTAAGTGTAAAACTAAACTAAATAAACATATGTAAAATGCGAATCTGTTTCCTATATGGATAGTTTTTTATTTTTTCGCTTAAATTATTTTTTTTAAAACTCAATTAATTAATCCAAGTGTCTGATCGTCAAAAGATATTTTCCAAAAACTAATCAAATGTTCTTAATGCATTTATTAAACGTTGTGTAAAAATAATCTCGTGTCTGTTGAAGGGGAAAGCGAAAATTGGTAGAAAGAAAAGTGATCGAACGAAAATTAGTCACAGAAAATTAATGTGTTTGAAGCCAGGAAGACGAGCAACAGCATGGTCAGATAAATTAGTGAGACAATTATCAATAACAGTCTGTGTAGTTTCATTGGAATTGGTAGCTCTATCACGAACTTTTTCTTCAAATATTCTAATTTCAATTGAAACGGCATTGCCATTATGATAATGATTGTCATTTTCATATAGCAATGCTGCATTGATACAATTAGTGTGAACTCTACCTTTACATTTAATTTTTTGAAGATGTTCGCATTTCCAATAATTATTTCGTCAGTTGTTTTATCAATAGTATAACTAAATCATTTAGAAAGTAATAATGGTTTGTTCTTTTGGGTTTTGCTCAAAGTAAATTTTGACATTTTAGAATAATAGTATAGATCAATCTAGTACAATAGCTCTTCTTATAACTTATTAATAATCTTTTAACATAATCCAATAAAGATTATGCATAATCTAGCTTATATTAATAGATGGTAATTAGAATAAAAAAGTATGTGTGATTCTTTGAAATAACTTTTAGCCTATTACAATTCCCATACATCAATGAAATATGAAATTTTTTAGTTAGAAAATTGTTATCATTCTCTCTCCGCATGGTTTTATTTTTATCGTTGTTTAGCTTATCATTATCAGTATCAATAGAAAATTCACTTCAAAATTTTTTTTTCACTAAACTCTCGACTACTTTTTATATTGATCAATTTTCGTAGACCTTTGTTAAAGATCGCTTTTTATTGATTGATAAAATTAAAAAAAACTTGTCAACGCAGCCCCGCTGGGGCTAAAATGTGGAACTCACATATTATGAATCGCTTGAATACTGACCAAATGGAATGTTTTATTTATTTTTAATAGAATGAGTGTCATAATTTGCTTAGGAAAACGACCAAAAAATTAATAAAAATAGCTGAATAGGTGAAAACTTAGTAGAATTTCTTTCATTTAAATAACTTATGAGTACTTTTGAAACTTTCTAATTAGAAAAACCGTAAAGATTAATTACGGTTCGATAGAATTTTTTTTCGAGGCCGTTTGGTATTTAATAATATTGATAAAAAATATTTCACATTTCGATTTTCAATGTTGAAGTAAAATAAATATGAAATGAATTTGATATTTAAGCATTGTATTAGTATTAATAAATAAAATAAATGACTTTTGTAATTGTTTTTGGTTCCCTCGCTGTTTCTATCGCAAAATTAAAAAAAAATTCTAAAAGAACTCTTACGCTTGTTTATATTTTATTCCAATTAATATTTGTGTTATAATTATCGAATAATATTCTTATTTCTACACAGAAACAGAGTAAACCATCTTTGAAAAAATGTGTAATGTATGTAATATCTGTAATCATACCATATAGTGGCTACTAATGTTAAAATAGCAACATCTCCTCGTTGTTATCATCTCTAATAGTAAAAAGGTACGATTCTGTCGTAACTATGGTCTTTAATTGTAAAAATAGAGATTTTCAATAAAAATCTTCAATTAAACGCTAATTATAATGAGATCTAATTAACGAAAATAAATTTTAATTAGTGATATGAGTAGTGACGAATGTGGACTATCGAATAGTACCAAAAAATTTTCTAATTAGTGAGCGTACATAGGACTTTTTTAACGTTGTATGTCTGAAACGGAGGGAGTGGGGAGCCGCAAAAAATCTCGCTTTTAAACTTACACTCTCTATTTTCTTCGAAAATAGGTGAGTTCCACAAAACTTGAAGTACGACTGTACTAAATAGAATCTTAGAATGATTATGAAAGTGTAGATGATGAGCTCTCGATCATATGACTCAATGGTTTAGGCGATGGATAAGTATCATATTGTATGCATGTTCAACTCTAACCTTCATCGTTACATGTATTCATTTAGGCTAGTTTAGACTAGTCCATTCGGTCAGGTTACAATCTGTTCTATAATCGATCCGGACGCCCTCAATTTTTCATTTATAAATCATTTTCGGACGGGCGACAGTGACACTTGTAGTGACTACTCTTATCAGGTTTAATGACGCTTGCCATTTAGAACAACAGGACGTGTGCACATGACGGTCAAAAGCTCGGACTAGTTGTGGACGATTAGATTTTGCGACAAAGACTAGACGAGACGGGACGACACAACTAGAAAAAAGACTAGTCATTTAACCCGTCTTTTGCTCACTTGGGTATGTTATGTTTAGAAAATTGTTCGAACATTGAAATGGCATTTACACTACTTCAAAACGAAGACATATACACTGAAAAGAATCTAATCTGTCCACTCACACATAAATTATTTCAAGATCCAGTTCTTGCTGGTGATGGCCATATATACGAACGATCAGCACTTGTTCAATGGATCGAAGTTAATGGAACGAGTCCAATTACACTTGAACCATTGAAGATCAGCGATTTACGTATAGAGGAGAATATCAAACGACTATGTCAAAGTCAACCACCACCTGTAGCCTATTCAACTGGCAACGATGAAGTAAGATTACCACCTTTGCGAGTTTCACAGATGTCGCCTATTAGAGAACAACCACCAATTGTGGCAGAAGTACAGCGATCATTTAACAATAATAATTGCATTTCATACATGTGGTGCATAGGTATTTCCATAATACTTGTTATACTTATCATTATTGCATCCATGAGTCTTAGCGTTAAATCTCGCTCAACAGGTAAAGTTTATTGATATTTTATTTCAATGGATTTTATCCTTTTATTTCTAGTTCCATCCACTTATGCTATTAATACTTCTCTTTCGCCTTTGGTTGCTACTACTACTATTATTGCTACTGATTCTACTACTTATATCTTGCCAAACAATTGCACATTGAGGCAAATTACCCCAGTGTTCTCGTTGAACAATAGTCCACCGTTCGATTTTCAATTTTATTCTATTCCATATACGGCTATTGCCGAGCAAACAATGATAACTTTTGCCTTTCGACAAGATCCAGGCTATTGGGCCATTGATGATATATCAATGAGAGAGAATAAAACAGGAATTGAAGTTCTACAAAATGGTGACTTTGAAAATGAAGTATTTGCACTATTCTCCTATTGCAACCAACAAGGAATCAATGTAACATCGACGGCTTATCCATCAAACAATCAATCTCATTCAGGAACATATGCATTCGTTGATTTCACTGCCAATGCTCCAGATTACATTAGCCAGATGCTTACGTTAACTATTGGAAACATATACAATATTTCATTTTTCCTATTGAACAGTGATGGGCCAGTGAACAGCTTCATGGTTATGATGAGCGTTTAATCATCAAGATTCACTTTAGAAAAGACAAAAGAAAACTAACGCTGCTTGCTTTTTATATTCTTCTTGCAATTCTATTCTCAAATGATCGCTCAATTTTTAAATATACAAGCATTGATAAATTTGCTTAATGCACAGAGCTCTAAGCAATATCATTTCTTTCAGAAAAGAGAATGATGGATTTTGCAAGGCGTAAAGTAATACTTTGCATATCATCAATTAAACTAAAAGCAATGAAAAATATTTAATATTATATTACGATTCTCTAGTGTGTGCCATTCAGATGATACATTTAGAAATATGAAAAAAGACAATAACTGATAATAAACATTGAGCTTTGAAATACATAAAGGATGGGCCGCATAAGCAAGCTAAATCAGCCCGTTTAGAATTTCTTACGAAACCTAGTCAGTCCTAGGTAAAAAATAGCGCTCAGTCGTTTGGGAACCTTTTCTAAGTGAATGGAAGAAGTCTCTAACTGCTACAGGTCAGTGTATGACATTCCAAAGTACCACAAAAAATTCTGTCTGCTCACGAACACTTCAGGGGTGTGGGTGTGAGGGAAGACAATGAGCACAACCATATCCTACACACCAACACCCAATTTATTTTTAGTCTAACATTTATCAAAACCTATCAAATTACTATTTCATTAAACAAAAAGTTCTATCGAATAAACGTGTATATGAATTAGAAATAACTTTCGGTTGTACTATGGTTGAGATAATAAACGAATCACATATTCGCAAGAAATTGATTTTACAATTTATTTATCATCCAAACGTAACATCTATCGAAACATATTTAATAGTTTTTGATTTAGATATTATTCAAATGTGTTTTAATGATGAAAAAGTGTTATATACATGGACATGTATTCGGGCATTAAATACGGGAACATTTATTTGTTACAATCTAACAAATAATTTAACAACATTAGCACGTAGTGCAATTCGCATTAGTAAATATTATCAAAAAATTTTAAACTCTTATATCCTCACTAATTCCAAATCGACGATCTTTTGTCTCTAACAATACATGACATACAACATATTCAAAACCCTAATTGTTATTCATCAACAAAAGAACAATTTGGCAGCAATAACGATTTTTTTCAATTACAAAATAAATTTGTCAATGTATATATCAAAAACCTTTTTTAAGTGTTTTAATACATTAACGTGTATAAAATATACATACAAAATAATACTATCTTATAAGCATCAAGATATATATATTCGTTAAAATAAAATGCTAGTTTATTTAAAATAAAACCTTTCACGAGCGTACAATTTAAACATAAATTTGATATCTGTTATAGTTTATCAGCGTCTCCTTGTTTTATATCATAAATTTATTTTAAAAATCTTTTGCTTCAATTCATAAATTTCAAATCTCTCTACAATACGACTTGACATAGACAATACTTGTATATTTTTCATGTTATCATAAGATTTAAAAATTTATTTATTTTCAAAATTTGTGATGAAATATACTCAAAACCTAAACAACACACTAGAGGTTGTATCAATTATGTGTTGTAAAACAAAGCCTCAATCACAAATAGACAAAAAACGTCGCCACAAGTGTATTCTCATATTCATAAAAAAATATATATAAAGATAAAAAAATATTAGCTTGTAAATCCATAACATATACTACTGTATATTGAGTTAAACTGAACTGGCTAAATTATCTATTTTATACTATAACCTAATTGAAAACTAACACAAAACTACTCTCTGCAACCAAAATACTGTTAAAATAAACCACTAATCTAACATACACGAATCGAAACAACTCATGTATACATAGTATCAACACCCTTCAGATCCATAAAAGCTTGATTTAACTTCTATACATCTCCAAAACAAGTTAGTTCATTTTATTTCTTTATTTTTTCTAAACAATAGAAACAACCGATTACATTTTATTATAAAATCAATTCGGTTAAGCGTTTTAAAACTCTTTACATTCATTATCAACTCCATCATAGGCCTTTCTTTCAATAAATGATTTCCGCAACAATCACTATAAAGTTCATATCGATATAAAAATTTTACTTGCAATCTTAATATATTAGAAATAAAATATCTATTTACATGTGTTTAGGAAGGTCATTATAATTTTATAATTTTTTTTTCTCTTCCTTTTGCTTTAATGTTTTTTATTATTAATCATTTTTTGATTTTTTAATAATTAATTATTTATATTTTTAAGACGTTTGGGAGATATCTTTCTCCTTCTTCAGTTTTATTTTATTTGGTGTTATGTTTCTTTTTACTATTTACAATACGTATCTGACTATTATTTTTCTTTTTCTTTTCTTTCTCTTTAATAGTGGAACGGAACGTCAAAACATATAAGTTTTATCGGCCAGTATTACCGTCTTGTCATTCCATTCCACTATTAAAGAGAAAGAAAAGAAAAAGAAAAATAATAGTCAGATACGTATTGTAAATAGTAAAAAGAAACATAACACCAAATAAAATAAAACTGAAGAAGGAGAAAGATATCTCCCAAACGTCTTAAAAATATAAATAATTAATTATTAAAAAATCAAAAAATGATTAATAATAAAAAACATTAAAACGAAAGGAAGAGAAAAAAAGTATAAAAAAAAATCTATATTATTCCAATAATTTTTAGTGTCTAATAGTATAGAATACGATTATATTAGTAAACTATACTCGAATATTGTTTAGAACTTTATTATTTATATTCATTTTCATTGAATTTTTCACACCAAATGTAAAAAGTATGATAATGAAAATTATATGAATGAAACAAAACTAAAGGGTGTGTGTGTGGGGTTTTTACTGAAGACAACGGAATGCACACCCATACCCATAAATACTTCGAATGAAGACGAAGCTTAATTTGTTTATATCTTAGAAGGCTACTGGCAGCATCATAAACAACAAAAAATTGATTTAGCTTTTACCAGTTTACGGTATTTCGTTGATTTTATTATCATTTTCAAGAAAATAACAAGATAACATGGATAGTATACTGTAACGAGAGAAAAATTATAGATAAAGTCAAAGTATGGAAGGGCAACAATAATAATAATGAAAGAGATTAATAGAGTGAGAAAAGCAGATCAAAATGTGAGCCAATAATTATAGCGCAATTACATACGGAATTATAAATCAATGGCCATTATAACGAATAATATCAAAGTTTAAACCCGATATAGCTATGAATGCTTGATAAAATTACAATGAACGAAATTTAATAATTATATATTTGATAGAATTATAACAGAAAAAAACTTTGGTGAGTGTGAGTGTATGAGCACATAGATAGCTCAAACTTCTATGAAGTCGGATAGAACACCAAACGTTGTACATATTTACATCGATTTTTGATTCGAGAAAGATGAAAAAATTGACGACTTCTATCTGTTTTCTCAAAAATTAAAGATTTTTCATCAGCGGGGTCAACTTTAGTCATTATGATCGAATCTTCATAGCGACACGTTGCAACAATGTCTAACTTGAGTGTAGGTGCACATGAAGATAGACTTCATATCGTCAAGGATACCCACATCCCAGCAGTTGCAGAATGCCTACCCAGCAGAATTCAGAATTCTGTAAACTTATAATATTTTTCAACAAATCGATGCTTATGGAATAGAATTCTACAGAATTCTATATTCCTAAGATTATAGTATATCAATTTGACTCTTCATATGATGTTAGAATTCTACTCTAACTTGTTTGAATTCTGGTTAGAATTCTATATTCCTAAGATTATAGTATATCAATTTGGCTCTTCATATGATATTAGAATTCTACTGTAACTTGTTTGAATTCTGGTTAGGATTCTATTGTAGCTTGTTTGAATTCTGCTTAGAATTCTATAGATTGTTAGGGTAATGGAATATGTTTTGTGTAAACAAATGCGTTGGATATGTTGTTCACTTGGCACAAATTCCTAGGATTAAAGTTGTTTTCGTAAATTTTATGGATAGAGGATAGATTTTATACGAAATGAAGGAAATCTAAAGCGTCTAGTTTAATTGAAAACAGCGACGCTTCTAATTTATTTCAAACTTACTGATGTCTCTGGTAAACGTGAAATTTATACACACCAATTTTCTGCGCGCGGATCTTCCTGCTTCAAAAACAGACTGGCAGAACATAGTGCGTCAATTCAAAGGCAACATTCCAAGTGATTGATAATATAAAAAACTGTTTGTATAACTGTTTAAGTGTTTTTGTAAGATAAGCTATATGCAGTCTTATTAAAAAGAAATGAATGAAATTACAAAGATACGAAACAACTTGTTCATTAAATAGCTTGTTTAATTCTACAATCCTGACTTTAGCGTGTACAAAATATTTCATTCTCAATACTGCATGATATTGTTCCATGTTTGATACACATGCCAATGTAAATGTTTCTTCTTCTCTCTCGTTTCATGATGTAATCATGATCAACTATCGTCGATGTGTATCAATTTCTTCTCTAGATATGCATGATTAAAAAAAGAAATCTAGAGATGAACAAACAACCATCATTATATCAACATCTTTTTACAAGCATACTCCTCAACAGTTGACTACAATAAATCACACAAAACCTTTCATTTTTA